CCCGGCACTCCTCTGCGGCCTGCTGCTGGCCTTGCCCCTGGCAGTGGTGGCGGTGTCCCTGGCTGGACCAGGTCGGTCTTCAAGCCAGCAGCTGTCCACGGCCTGGGCCGAGCCTGCCTGTCTCTACCCCGCTGGATCTGCTGTTCTGGGTCGGGTGGGGCAGTCACCTCCTGGGGCAGACCCTGGGTTGCCTCACAGGATGGGGACATCGGCTGGAGGCCCTGAGAGCCACCGAAGCCCCCCAGCCCCAGCCTGAGATGAGAGGCGGGCACACAGCTGCTCTCAGATGAGCAGGGCTCAGCCTCCCCATCTCCCTGATACCACCCCACCTCCTGGGCCTTGACCCTTGACACTACCGCCTGGGTGAAGGGCACAGAAAGGTCGTGTGGTTTCTTAAAAAAAAAGATGAAATGCACATCACACAAAATTAACCTCTGTAAAGCGTGCAATTCAATGTGTACAACCATTGCTTCTGTCCAGCGCCAAAGCACTGGACAGTGCAGGGCCGAGTCAGCAGCCAGCCGGTCTGCTCCGTCTCTGGGTCTGGGTCTGGGTCTGGCCCGGGATGGCTCAGCACCTCTCGCTCTGTCCTTGGTCCTTTGGTGTTGTCACACAGCATTCCCATGCCTGACCGAGCCCTGTGCTCTGAACAGCTGCTGTGAACAGTGCTGACCGCCCACGTCCAGGCACCCGTTTGCACACCTTGTGCTCAGGCTGGGGAGACAGTGGAACTGCTGGGGCACACGATGTCTGTTTAGCTTCTTGAGAACCCGCCAGACTCTTCCACGGCAGCCGCCTCATTTTTCTTCCCATCAGCACTGCTGTGTTCCAATTTCTCCACCTCCTTGCTAACACTTGGTATTTTCTTTTTAAGTCTTGGCTGTTTTGTGAGTGGGCTGTGCGCCTATTTTTATTTCCTACTCTGAAATGATGTGCGTGGCCCATGGGGCCTTCTCTGAGCCTTGCGGTAACTGCCAGGGTGTGAGGCCCTCTAAGTGGAATCCAAAGGAACTTGAATCTCTCACTTCCTGGGCTTTGCCGGCCAATGTGGCTCACTGAGCACACATGGATCGTTTCTGCCATTGCAGAAAACTGAGGAGCAGTGCTGCACCCCTTCCTATTTCCTGAGGGCTGGGCCTGGCCCAGATTCTGGGTTTCCTGGATGGCTCCAGAGAGGCACATCAGAGGTGCCCTGAGTGTGTGGGAGAAGGTGGACCCCACCTGCAGAGGGGGCCTGGCGGGTGGGTCACCCTTCGGTGGAGGTGTCTAAGTTGGGGTCGGTGACCCTTGTCAGGTTTCCTAGCAGAGGAACCACCAGGCATGGCAGGATCCGTGGGGGCAGGACCCCAGGAGCTAAGGAGAGATCAATACTTACGGTCCGTGGACATCAAAATGGGAGCTGGCCCCCAGGGACGGCTTGGGGGGGGGGGTTCAGGGGCTCCCCAGGGAGCAATGGAGCAGCACTATGGACAGGCTTTTTAAAAAGGGACAGTTGTGGTTCCTGTACACAATTTCAAGAAATATAAATCATCTCCAACTTTTAAAAACTTGAGGAGAACAGAGCGCTGTTTTCATTTTGGCCACGGGGTGGCGCCACACCAGCAGCCAGCAAGAGCACAGCTGTCCACATCTAATCCTATTTTAAGCCTGCACCTTCCAGGCCACTACTGCACCTGCCCTTGGGGCGGCACCACAGCGGGAAATGGCTCTGTAGCCTGCAGTGCAATCATTTTGAGGGCTGGAGGCCGGACACAGGGACAGATGGCAGGTGGCAAATGCTAGCTCGAGGGCCGAGGCTACTCCTGGGTCATCACCTGGGGACAGGTCACTGTGCTTGTGCTTCCCCAGGGATGCTGGCCCCGGGCTCAGACGGATGCTGTCTGAGGGCTGCGGCTCGCCAGCTGTCACTGGCCAGCTGGCCGGGCCTGCTGCCCTCAGGCAGAAGGGCTATATTTCTGTTCCAGTTTAAAGGGTCAGGAGGGGCAGGCAGCAGTGTGAGGCCCAGGGCTTCCCCACAGGCTGGGGCACTAGGAGTGCGAAGTCACTGCCAACCTGAGCCCCAGATCAGCGAGGCAGGCTGGAAGGGCAGGCTTCTCCGTCGTGGGCGGGGTGCCACCGAGAACTGGGCCAGCCGGAACCAAGCCACTGCAAGTGCAGCCAAACCTCAGCTCCCCGCTGTCCCCTCTTGGGCTCTGGAGGGTGAGTCTGGGGCTCCGGGTGTCACATGTGGACTCAGTGGCAGGCATCTGGCACCACCCTCTTCCCCAGTTCTGCGCTGGGGTCCTTTGATTTCCTGTGATCACCCTGCTCTTTCCTTCTTGCAGCAGGTATTTCTGGCCAGCTGCCAGGTGTCAGGCACGCAGCTCCGTGCTGTGGACACAGCCAAGCTAGCAGGTATGTTTACCACCAGCCTGTGCCCTCGTGGGGGAAGGGCACACAGAAGGCCAAGGTGACATGGGAACCAGGAGAGCAGAACATGGCAGCCACCTGAGGCGGGGACTTCTAGGAGAGTGGGAAGGTTCGAGCCAGGCATGGTGGGGCACAGGCCAGGGGTAGGGCCCGAGGGAGGAGGACAGCAGCTCCTGGTGGGACCAGGAATTGGGGCTGGCGAGTTAGAAACGGGCAAGGTCTTGGGCCTAGCGAGGAGCCTTTGGGGGTTTCAGAAGCAGGGCGACAGGGTTTTCAGTTTGCATTGGCTCCGGTTGCTGAGCGGGAGGGGGGTGCAGGGCTGGGCAGGGCAGCTGCTCCCTAGGAGGGGGTGGGAGGGGGACCCATGGTGGTGGTGACAGGAGCAGGGCAGAGGAGAGACCCTCTTCCCTGCCACTTTCCTGCCCAGCCCCGATGGCCTGTGGTGCCATGCTGCAGGCAGAGCTCCCCTGTTCAGAGTCCTCTTCCTGGACTCGGCCGGTTGGGCGGATGGCGTATGCTGGCTCACCTGCCTTTCCTGTGACTCTGTCTTGGGAGCAGCCAGATGGAACCTGACCGAGACCCGTCTTTCCGGAAGTCCTTGTTCCTTCTTGGAAGTGCAGGGCCCCTGGCACCATGCCCACGCTCTGCCCTCTGCTCTGCTAAAATGACTGCTGGGCAATCCCCCCAGGTCACCTGGGCATGGCAGGTGCAGGGCCCTGGAAGGAGCCAGGCCATGGGGATAAAGAGGCCCTGTCTTCCCGAAGCGTGGCCCCGGGGGGTCTCCTAACTTCAGTGTGACGGATGTAATGGCAGGTTAGAGGGCTGCTAAGAAACTGGCTCTGGATTCTGTCCTGAAAGGGCTTGGAAAAGCAGCAAACCCTTGATGCAAGAAAGGAAAATGTGCAGACAGCCTCTGACTTCTCTTCAAACCTAGAAATTCCGCTGATGTCTTCTACCCCACCTGGTTTCCTGCTTACAGAATCTGCGCCTCAGCCTCTCCCTGACCTTGTTTTTCCTTTCTCTTTTCCCAACTTTTATCCATAGCCACGCCCCTAGCTGCCCCTTGCCCCTGCCTTTATTGGCTTCTCCAGCTGGCAGTGGGTTTGACCGAGGGTGGGGACCACGAGGGCAGAGTTAGCCCTGGGACAGGAGCGCCGTGTGTGCACGTGCGCCATCCCAGCCCTGTGGGCCTCAGGATCCCCGCTGTGGTCTAAGTTGGGTTTGTTAACTGGGGCAGCTCACATAGCCACGGTGAGGAGTTTTCTGAGGATCCTGAGGAAGGGCAGAGCTTGGGTCATGTTTGGCCTCAGCAGGTCTGGACTGCAGAGTGGACCCGCTCCTGTTTCCCAGGGGAGCCCAGGCCAAGGGGGTTCGAGGGCTGTGTCCAGAAATGGCTTGTGCGGAGCTCTGCAGCTGGGCAGGAACCCAGGCTGCCCCGGGTGGACTTCAGATGAGATTTCAATCCCCCAGGGCAGGAGCTGTCATTCTTTCCCACAGAATTTGAAACGGCCAGATTTCTGCTGCTGATTTTGGAGAGCAAAGTTCTCAGTAGCAAAGTGGCCGTCCTTCAGAGGGAGCGGTTACTGAGACTTCCTCAGCCGTCACCGATGCTTGGTGAGAGGCCAGGCGGGTTTCGAGCATCCCCACTGAGGCGACCTCACTGTCCGGGGGCAGGCAGGCGTGTGTGTTCAGTGCTCCACTGGCCCCAGGAGGGGGTGGATTGGAGGAGGCATGCAAAGAGGGTATCAGGAGGTCTGCCCTGGTCCCCAGGTCCTCGGACAGGGAGGGGATGTGAGCAGGGGCAAAGGTGTGGGGAAGGAGTGTTGAGGGGCAAGGCTGAGTTAGAGGTGCCGGCGGAGCAGCCTCACAGGGATGCTCTGAGTCAGTGGACACAGGGTCCAAGTCCAGGCTCTCCGGCTGGCTGCGCTTTGGGGTCACCACAGCGGGCAGGTGGGGAAGGGTGTGGCCTCGGGAGAATGTAGGGTGAACAGAAGGCGCCAGAAGAAGCGGGCGGGGTCGGGGTTCAGAGGCAGCAGAGGCCCAGCGGAAGCACCTGGGGGAGAAAGCGACAGCCAGCTACCGGCAGGGGATGCCCCGAGGGCCGCGGTCAAGGGCTGGCCCAGGTCCGCCGGCTGCAGGGGTGGCCTGCGGAGGCTAGGCGGACGCACAGCCGGAAATGGAGGCGACATCTGGGGGAATGGTGAGGGCAGCCCGGGAGGGCACCGGGGAGACCAGCTGGGTGAATACGCAGGGAGCAGCCGGAGCTGGGGACCGTGGCTGAGGCCAGGGCGGCTCCAGGCCCGGGGTCCTCCGAGGCCCAGCGGGCCGGGGCTGTCAGTACCCGCTCCCATCTGTGGGGCCGGGCCAGGGGGCAGGGTCTCCGCCTGACAGCTGCGCCCGCTGTCCTTTCAGCCCACTCTGCCCGGTGATGTCAAGGCCAGCCTTGTCCACCCTCTGCCTCGGGCCCCCATTCCGGCAGCCCGGGCCCTGGGGCGGAGTCCTTGGTACTCGGCCCCGCCCACAATCCGCCCACCCCCATGAGCTGCATCGCCATTGGCCGACGTCTCTTCGGGGCTCCTCCCCCTGCTTCCTCTTGTGCGATTGGAGTACAGGACCATCGGTCAGCGCAGTTGCCTGGGAGGGGAGGGGGGCCCCCCAGGGGAAATCCGAAGGCTGCCGGACCCAGACCGGAAGGCATGGTGGGTTCGGTTCGGGCCCCGCCGAGTGATCCAAGCTGAGGGCGGGCGGTGCGTGCGGTGGGGTGCGGTGGTTGCCGTGGGTGCCGCGCCTCTCGGGGCCGAGTCGGGGAGGTGGGGACAGGTCGGTGGAGAGGCCCAGGCTCCCCGCGGTCCTCGGGAGCCCACAAGCACCCCAGCTCCGCCGTGAGGTCCCGATAGGGTCCCAGAGGCGCCTTCCCCGGGGCCCGGGCCAGCTGTGGACGGGACAGGCAGGGACGGAAGTGCGGCTGCTGAGCCCCCAGCCCAGGCGTGAGCCCCTAGCCCAGGCGTGAGCCGCCAAGGCAGCGGGGAGGTCCTAGCGGGGTCCCTGCGCTCTGGGGCGTGAATGGGGTTGGAAGGGGCCCTTGGCTGACCACACTGCCCATCTGGCCCTTCCAGTCCCGCGTCGTCCGGGAACGCAGCCTCGCACCTGGACCGCAGCGTGCTTCACGCTAAGCCCTGACTCACCGACCTGTAAGGCCCAGGGAGGACAGCCTGCCGAGGTGTTGGAGCAGGGGCAGGGCGGGGTTGGGTGGAAAACAGCTGGAGGGCAGCGTGGGTTCCGGGGACTCGGGATAGGCTCGGCTGGCAGAAGTCGCACTGAAGACGCCACTGGGAGTCACAGGCCAGGCAGGGAGCCGAGATGGCCAGCTGATGAGAATGCTCGGATATGGAGGATGAAGGTTCTGGCTAAGGTGGATTCCGAGTCTGACTGGAGTGTGGTCAAGCAGAGGGCCTTTGTCACTTACTGTGAGCCTCAGGGGCTACTGTTTTGTTTTGTTTGGTACCGGGGATCGAACTCGGGACCTTGTGCTTGTGAGGCAGGCAGCGGAACCACTGAGCTACATCCCCAGCTACTGTTTTATTTTTATTTATTTATTTATTTATTTTTTGTGGTTTTTTTTTTTGAGACAAGGTCTTGCTATGTAGTTCAAGCTGGTCTTGAACGCACTGTGTCTCTCAGGCTGGCTTTGAACTCACCAAGATCCTCCTGCCTCAGCCTCCCAAGCACTGGGATTATAGGCATGCGGCAGCTCAGACCTGTTTTGTTAAGGTTTGAAATTAGCAAGGTGCCCACAGTGATAAAACTGAGCATCACCATGTGAACCGAGATCTCCCGGGTTTGTTTGCATCCTAACTACAGAGCTGGCCCCATGTGTGGGAGCCGCAGGGTCATGAATATAGTCTCCTTCAGGGTGTCCCCACTGCTCACCCCTGCCCTGCGTTCTTCAAAGCCATGGCTTCTAACCTTCGGCTCTGCCGGCTTTTGGGGCCAGATGCTTCTGTCATGGGGTCTCTGCTGTGTACTGTAGGACATTTGGCAGCATCCTTGGCCTCTGCCCACCCACGGGTGACAACCACCATGTCCTAGGCTGTTGCCACTGTCCTGTGGGAGACAAAACTGCCTCCAGCCGAGACCTGCTGGCACCAGCAATCCCGATGTACCCTTAAAGTAACTGAGGCGAGTCCTGCTCTGAGAAGACTCAATGTGGGGTTGCCAGGCTGTCCCGCGTGCCAGGGTGACACACACAGAAAGCCGGTTGGGGACAGGAAGTTCAGGATCTTGCCTCTGCAGTGAAGGGCAGATTGAAGGCCTTCACTTCCTTCCGCAGTGGATGGAAGAGATTTCTGCCTGATCAGAGGTCAAGGCCTGGCGGGGTTGGCTTCCCTGGCCTGTCCCTTCCTCATAGCCCCTTTAGGGCCCTGTGAGGTCTGGCTGGCGGCCAGGCTGCTGTGTTCAGGCCGTGAGGGGGAGCCTGTCCTAGGGGAGGAGGGGAAGGAGGCTGGGTGGAGGCCAAAGAGGGTCCCTGCCCTTGGGGCCCCTTTTGCTGGCCCTGTATCCCTAAGGTCCTCTGTTCCACCGACCCCAGCCTTGCCTCCTGCGCTGGCGTCCTGGTGCCTGAGGACTCCCACCCTCACCGGGCTTCTCTGTCAGCCTCAGCCACCTCGGTTGGGGCCTGGCCCGAGTGACGTGGACAGTTGAATGCATGGTGTCAGGAAGGGTGGACCGGTGGCCTCTTAGTGGCAGAACCCCTGGACACACGGATGCCTCGGTGGCTTTGAAGCTGTGTCCCTCGGAGCTCGATCAGTCTGTTTGCGTGAAGTGGCTTCTTGGATTAAAGGTCCTGGAGGTGGCGTTGTCCTTGGTGGCTTCCCTGATGGCTCTGGGCTTGTTTTCCTGTCCCTTGTGTCCCGAGCCCCTGCTGTGGCCTGGCACTGGTGGGCTGCACGGTGAGGGTGCCGCAGCCTGGGGCGGTGGGGTGTGGGGGGAGAGCAATGCTGCCCTGGCTCCTGATGGCTCTGTGAGCCAGGCTGCTTCCAGGTGCTGCTGGGCTGGAGCCCACAGGTGCCATTGCCGCAGACTCTGACCCTGGGCGTGCAGCAGGGGAAGAGGTGGCTTGGGGTGCCCAACTTCGTCCCCGATGGAGGACAAAGCAGGAGGAGGGGCTTGCTCCCAGGCCCACTCTTGAGCGGGCAACCTGAGGAGAGTGAGGGACCAGCCTGCAGCTCCTCAGAGCAGCGCTGGGGGCGGGCCCAGCTCACCAGGTTCACACTGCAGCAGGTGCAGGACGGCCAGGGCCAGGTGGTGTAGGGGGGCTGTGCTCAGCCTGTGCTGCTGTGCTCGGCCTGTGCTGCTGTGCTCAGCCCGTGCTGCTGTGCTCGGCCTGTGCTGCTGTCCTGGGCTCCAGGGAAGCTGAGGTGCCGCAGTCCAGGAAACCAGAGGCTAGGAGGATGAGGAGGAGCCCGTGCCCTGAGCTGGCGGGCGAGGAAAGGACTCTGTCCTGGAGAACTTGGTGCTGGCGCCCGAGTGGACCCCATGGTTCCCAGGCGGGTTGGCTTCCGCCGCTGCAGGGCCCGGCTTTCCCCTGGGCTCTGCCTGCCGTGTGGGGCGGTGGTGACCTGCCCTGCATCACAGGCTTTGAGGTCCGAGGAAGTGATGCGTGTGATGCCTCGGGACGAGGTGGTCACATGGTGCCTGTTCCTCTGTGTGGTTTCAGCAGAGTAATGAGGGGCAGAGCGCTCTCAAGTTTCCTGGTGATTTGGCAAATTCACACCAATTAGAAGATCTTGAGCCCCCCGCGAGTAGGACCTGGGCCATCCACTTCTCCCTGACCGAACCCTGTCTGCTGGCCACACCCTCCTCATCCCCCCAAGTTCACTGGGTGTTTCAGACTTGGGTCAGGACTCCTCTCCTCATCGGGTCCCCTGTGACAGTGCTGCCTTAGGGCGGAGCTGTAGGCAGCGTGGCCACCCTGTCCCCTGGGCGGCTGCCTGGGCTGGGAGGATGGGGCTCAGCTGCACACCCCTTGTTTTAGAGGTGGGGTCAGCCTCGTCTTGCTGGGCACTGAGCCTGCCCAGGGGGTGTCCTCCTTGGCTCCTCTACTGCTGGGAAACTTGAGCGTGAGCCTGGAGGTCAGTGGCCCGTGAGTGATGGCCCCCAGCCAGGCTGGTCCTGCTCCCGGCGCCCTCTGCCCGCCGCTTTGGGGAACATCAGGAGCAAGGCGTGTCTCAGGCAGGCCCCTCTGCGAGGGTGAGCCCAAGGAAAAGACAGCAGTAGCAACAGCAAACCTTACTGGGGGCCGGGGAAGAGCTGGGCATGCTCAGACGCCAGGCACAAGGTTACCGTGGGAGCCGGCGACCCTGCTGCCCTGTGGGGCTTGAGCTCGCCCAGGTCGGATGCAGCACTGTCCCTAACAGCCAGAGGCAGGACAGCCCACATGGTCCTCAGCTACCAATGGAGACACGTGGGCGTGTCCCGTGACCTTACAGTGAAATGCCAACCAGCCAGCTGTGCCACCGCGGGCCTGGGAACTGTGAAGCCGAGTGACAGAAGCTATGGACCTGAAATGTCCAGTGTAGAGAAAGCCAGGGATGGAAGGTAGACTCGTGGTTGCCGGCGGTGGGGAGGGGGCACGACCAGAGATGCCAGTGGGGTTGTCCAGGCTTCCTGCAACGTGAGGGTTGTATTTCGGCCCCAGGTGGAGGTGGTTGTCGCCAATGCAGCGAATGGACTGAAGGGCCCCAAACCGCACACTTTAAGGTGGAAAATGTTGGGCAGGTGGCCGTCCCCTCGCGGGAGGGAGAGGCGGAAAGGCTCGGGGCATCGCTTTCCGTGGAGGTGTGGGCAGTGGTGCCGCGGCATGGCAGGCCCCTCCTCCTGCTCCCCGCCTGTCAGGTGTCGCCACCTGGGCCTGACCTGGAGGTTGTGCAGCACTGACTCAGTTTCCCGAGCTGCCTGTGTGGACAAGGTGGTTGGCTCTCTCGTGATCTCACCATGCCGCCTCCTGAAAGGAAGTCGGGGTAGGAGTGCACGTGACAGCGCCTGCCCCTTGCCTGGGTTTTTGTCTGCGTGTTTCGTGTGTTTGGTTTGGGGCCCCGGTCTATGGGCATCTGGTCTCTTTCGGTGATGAGGGCCGTGACGGTGAGCTGGCCCCGGTCAGCTGCCGCGGGTGCTGGAGGGAGAGGCTGGGCCGGGACCTGACCGTGAGGCCGTCCAGGTGCTCTTCCCTTTCCTCTGGATGGCATGGCGCATTGGCACATCCTCGGGCAGGGCCACGACCGTTCCCACTGCACAGATGCAGAAGCCCAGCCACAGAAAGGCCCAGCAACTTGCCTGAGACTGCACAGCTAGGAGGAAGAGGAGCCAGGATCGCAAAGGAGCCACTTCTCCAATAGCCCATGTGCTGAAGGGCAGGTTTTCAGGGGGACGATTTCACCCAAATGCTTGGGAGCGTTCAGGTTCAGAATGTTTAAAGAAATAATGTTTAGACTGATTAAAATGCAGCCCCCCTTTTAGTTCCATCGGCGGGGGTGTGGTGTTTTCGCACGTTTGAGCCCTAGGTGCCTGCTCTGGTAAACGCAGGAGCCAGGATGGGCCTCCCACTTTCTCCTGGCATCTGCTGGTCTCGCCGAGCCCGCCCTGTCCCCTTGACTGCGCAGTTACCAGCATTTACCCTCTGTGCGTGCCAGGTGTGGGCTTTTCTCTCTGACCTGTCTCTTTGCCTTTCGTAGAAACGTCCTCCCAAGACCAGGAAAGATGGGGAACAGCAAAAGCCACTCGGGGAGGACTTGTTGCTCCCAGTTTCTTCCCGAGGAGCAGGCCGAGATCGATAGGTTGTTTGACGCCCTGTCGTCGCAGAAAGACGGTGCGGAGACCTCACCCAGGTCCTTCTCCCTGAAGGCTCTGCAGGCAAGAACGACACTGTTGCTCGGTGCCAGTGTGGAGCCAGGGGTCTGTAGACTATGGCCCTCAGGCCAAGGGGGACCCCGGGGCGGTTCTCTGTGAAGGGCTGAAGGGTGCATGTTTTTTTGGCTTTGTGGCCTGTGCAGTTCCCAGGCAGTTACTCTGCCCTTGTGGGGCAAAGAGGAGCCATCAGTGACATCTCCACAGAGCCTCCCCTCCTCCGAAATCGGCACGGTGCTGGCTCTGGACTAGAGAAAGGAACTCGGGGTGGATCGTGATTGCCTCACTGTTGAGCATTTTTGACTCGAGGTGACACCCTTGGGCCCCGTGTCTCCTGGCTGCCACCCCAGAGAGCGGGTGACCATCTGGAGCTGGGCTTGCCCGGCTCAAGGGACCGCAGCATCTCAGGTGTGCCGCTGCCTCTAGGACTTGGGTCTGACGTGAAGGAATTTGATGGAGCGCCTCATGCGATACTGGAGCCTCACATTCCAGGGTCACCTTGCAGGGTTAAAACTGCCCATTCCCATATTCTGGGGCTTCTGAGCTCACATTCTGGGGCTCTGACTGAGCAGGACACTGGCGGGACTTCGGCTCCTCTCCCTGAGGGGGTGGGGGTGCAGTGTGCAGTCGCTCTAACTGCCTGTCCTCTGGAGGCACAGACAGCAGTGATGGGGAGCCCTGGGGACCCCCTCCATGCTCCTTTTGCAGATGAGGAACTGCCAGGGGGTTGGGGGGACACAGTTGTGTCGTGCACACACTGATGTGTGCTTGTGCATGTATGTATGTCTCCGGGTCAGCAGTGCAAGGCTGGGGCTGCACCCCCAGCTGCGCTAGTGCAGCCTGCCCAGCAGGGGGAGCCCTGGCTGCAGGGTGGGCCCCAAGCCCAAGAGAGAACCAGAAGACCTTGGCTCCGCTTTGAGTCGGGAAGGAATTAGAGGCAGAGTGGCAGGAGAGTGTTGGAAACACCCACAGAAATAGGAAGCTGCGTTGAGGGGCGTTTGCAGCCTGCCCTACATGAACGACACAATACTGCCACTGGGGTGGCCGGCAGATAGGTGGCCAGCTGTCAGCCACCCTGATGTGCAGGCACTGCGCCTCATGCCCTGTTTTTCCACTTATGTGTAATCCCTGGGCCAAAGCAGGTTTGATGCTGGAGGCCAAAAGGAAAACAGCATTTACAGAATGTTATTGTTTAAGCTGTTAAGAATTAAATTTAACAGGGCCAGGGATTTAGCTCAGTGGTTTCGCCGCCTGCTGTGCAAGTGCAAGGACCCGAGTTCGATCCCCTGCACCAAAAAAAAAAAAAAAAAAATTAAATTTAAGGTTTCTGTAAGAACAGCTAAAATGTATATGAGCTCTCGGAACTGGGCTACGAAGTAAAAGCGGATACACTTGAAAATCGCTGATGTGGAGAGCAGCCGTCCTCCATCAGACAGGCTCGGGAGCTTGCTGTTCTGGGCAGAGTGATGAGCAGGGGGCCCCAGGGCACTTGAGGGACGTGGGGCTCTGGGCGGGGATGGGAGCAGCCTCCCAGGAGCAGGATGGACCTATGTGAGCTCCCAGCCCCTCCAGTCTTTTCTCCGCGTGTCCCCAGCAGAGCCACGTCGGGGAGGCGCTTCCCCCAGAGATGCTCGCCAGGCTCTATGACGGCATGCGGCAGGTGTGCGGGACTGGCCCTGCGCAGGGATCCTGCCAGAGCGTCTCCCGGGAGCAGTTCACGGTGTCGCTGTCACACCTGCTCAGGGGAAGCTCCGAGGAGAGGAGTGTCGTGATCCTGAAGATGATTTCTGCCAGCGGAGGTCCCGTGAAGGCCAGAGAAGTGCGGAAGGTGTGGCTCAGGGCCCTTGGGTGGGGACTGAGGACAGTGACAGTGATGGGTGGTGGCACTGTGCAGAGCCCAGTTGCGGGAAGCCCACACACTGGTCGAGGTCAGTTTTCTGGGACAGATGAGGCAGCCGAGTGTCTCCTGGGAAGCAAGAACACCGCTTAGGGGCCATTTCCGCCGCGCAGCCGGCCCACCTGCCCGCAGAGCAGCGTGGGAGCAAACTGCCTTCCCCGCAGGGCATGGGGAGGTCTCAGGCCGTGGTGGAGCTGTGCTTCGTGGTGACGCTGTGACCTTCCAGTTCACAGAGGACCTGGTGGGCTCTGTGGTGCACGTGCTGAGCCACAGGCAAGAGCTGCGAGGCTGGGCCGGGAAGGAGGCCCCGGGAGCCCCTGCCAGGACACAGGCGCTGGCTGCCCAGCTGCTGTCCGAGCTGAAGCTTCCAGGCAAGTGCTCAGCTGTTGGCCTTAGCACAGCCGGGCCGGGTCGGGTGGCTGGAAGACAGGAAGTGGGCGGCCTGTGCCGCGCTCCCGGACTGTGGGATTTCTTTGTAGTCTTCTTTCTGCAGGAGCTGGTGTGCTGTCCCAGCTTCCGTCCCTTGAGACTTCTTTGACCTTGGTCAGCCTAACTGAAGGTTTCTCAGTTTTTGTTGATCTTTTCAAAAAACTCACTTTTAGTTTCTTTCCTCTTTCTCTGCCATTTTTCTAGTCTGTTTCCTTTATTTTTGTGCTTGTCCTTTTTTGGGGGGGCGGACAGGGTCTCACTATGTAGTTCAGGCTGGCCTTGAACTCACAGTGATACAGTCCTGCCTCAGCCTCCTGAGTGCTAGGGTGACAGACATGTGCCACCGTACCCAGATTTTCCTGCTTTCTTAAGGTGAGTGTTTGGACCAGTGATGGTGAACCTGTTGGAGCTTTCAATGAACCAAACAGCCTGCTGTGGCGGGGGCTGCAGGTTCACCGCCTCTGGTTCAGATTATTTATTTAGATCTTTCTTCTTCACTATAACCCTTGGCAGGTGTAATTTTCCCTCTAAACACTACTTTATCCACATTCTATAAATTTTAACATTGTAAATGTTATGGTTCTGTTTTTATTCATCTTTGTATTTTCTAATGACTTATGATTTCATTGGCCAGTTGACTCTTTAGAGATATTAATTTTTACATGCTCATGAATTGCTCAAATTGCTTTGTTATTAATTTTTTTTTTTTTTTGGTACCAGGGATTGAACTCAGGATCTTGCACTTGCAAGGCAGGCGCCGGAACCACTGAGCTAAATCCCTGGCCCCTGTTATTAATTTTTAATTTCATTCTATTAAAGTTGAACAAATCTATGATTTTATTTTATTTTTTATTTTGTTTTTTATTTTTTGGTACTGGGGATTGAACTTGGGTCCTTATGCTTGCGCAGCAGGCAGCAAAACCATTGAGCTAAATCCCCGGCCCACAAATCTATGATTTTAATCCTTTAAAATATATTAAGGTATCTTTCATAGCCTGTAATATGCTCTGGTTTGTGTGGTGTTTGACATACAGTTGAGAAACATGTATTCTGCTATTGTTGGGTAAGAAACAGTACATAGGGAAATTGGGATTTTAATAGTACCTCGTGGTGAATCTTTTTGCAAAGTACACTTACTTTGTGAATGTGCTACACATTTATTATAAAAACAGATTTTTAAATGCCCCTTTAAAAAGTTGTATTTCAAAAATTAAAGTATTTGGAACTTGGAAAGAACAAAAATATATATGAATTAGTATTTTATGGGTGACCTCTTATCACTATTTTTAAAAAAAAGAACCATAAAAATAGAACATTTAAGTAGAAAAACTGAAGTTGAACAATTAAAATTATCCTTAAGATTTCAAGTAATACACAGGTAATGAGAAATGTATTTGAAAAATAGCTGAATCAGAAATGATACAGATTTGGAACCATGGTAGATGGTGGGAAGTAGATTAAGGAACCCAGTTTCTACATTTCCTGGTGTGTTAGTTACTTTTCTTGTTATTGAGACAAAATACCCAACACCCAGAGTTAAAGGAGGAAAGATTGGGCCAGGGATGGGGCTCAGTGGTGCCCTGGCTGCCTGGCAGTGCAAGGTCCTGAGTTTGATCCCTGGTAAGGGGTGGGAGGAGAAGAAAAGGGGGAGAGACTTATTTGGTTCACGGTTCATAGAGGTCTCAGTCCATAATCAGCTGGCCCCAAGGCAGGGTGGCCTGGCAGAGGGCGATCGCAGAGGAGAAACAGTGTATGACAGGCAGAAGGCAGCAAAGCAAGCAAGCGAGGGCCCGGTGGCAAAGCTCTGTCTTACATCTTATCAGCACTCCACCCATAACCTTAGCGCTCCTAATCCTGGCACTGCACCATGAATCAGTCAGTCCCAGCAGCACTCACCCTAGATCCAGCCACCTCCAAAAAGCCCCACTGATGACTCCATGAGGCTTTGGGGGACATCTAGACACAGCCTTGGTAAGTAGAAAGGGCATGAGTTAGAGAAAACAGTGTCATTTGAGTTTAGATCCCCAGTTTCCATGGGCAGGGAGTTAGGAGAGCTGTGAATCAAGCTTTGCACGTGTGTACAAGTTTAAAATACAGAAGCTCCTCTCGTCCTTGGCCTTGTAGGGCTTTAGAACCCCCAGATGGGTGGTTTTGGTGTCGCTCTCGAAGGTCTGGATGGCTGAGGCCTCAGGCCTGGGCCTTGTGAGGGCCCAGCCTTCCCAGGGCCTCTGAAATGCACTCCGAGAGGAAGGGAACACAAAGGGGTGTAAGTTGAATTGTTCAGATTGGCACCAAGCAGCAGAAGTAAAGCACAGGGCCCCTTGTGGAATTTTGAAGTTTGAATATTAAAATAGTAAACAGAGCCACCTGTAGTGTCACACGCCTGTAACCCCAGCACTTGGGAGGCTGAGGCAAGAAGATCACAAGTTGGAGCCCCGTTTGGGCAACTTAGCAAAATCCTGTCTCAAAATAAAAAGTACGAAAAGAGCTGGGAGCTGGGTAAGGTGGTGCAGGCCTGTGATCCCAGCACTTGGGAGGCTGAGGCAGGAGGATTGCTGAGAGTTCTAGGCCAGCCTGGGCTCCACAGCAAGATCCTGTCTCAAAACAACAACAAAAAGGATATAGCTCAGTGCAAAGGCCCGAGGTTCAACTCCCAGTACTGAGGGAAAAAAAAGTTAATTTTAATAATATATCCCACATGCAATTTTAACAGGCAATTAGTGTAAAAAAAAAATTCTGAGATATCTTGCAGTCACTTTTCATACTGAATATTGGTAGAAATCGGTGCATTGCAGTGCATCTAGGGTCCAGCACGGCCTCTGCCAGGGGTACAGTCACGTGGCCCGTGCCCCCTGGATTGGCCAAGGCAGCAGTAGGCAGTCACTGCCAGGTGATGTCCTACCCCAGTGACAGTGGCTTCCCTCCTCTAGGTGGCGAGAGGCTGCAGGGGCCTCAGTGGCTGGAGGGCAACTGTGACCGAGCTGCGATCGAGGACTGGGTCTTCAGGGTCCCCCGTGTGGCCATGTTCCTGAGCGTGGTGGTCCACAGGGGCCTTCTTGTCCTAGGCGTGCCCCCGGATCTCGCCATGCTGGTCCCCGAGCGCCAGGTGGAGCCGGGGCAGGAGCTGACGAGCCTGCTGGACGTGCTGGCCGTCATCTTCCTCAGCTCCCACCTGGCCCCAAGGCAGCGGCACTGCTGGCGCCTGCTCTTTGCCTCCCACCTGCACGGGCAGAGCTTCTCGCAGCTGTGTGGCCGTGTCACCCACCGTGGGCCCTGCCTGGCCCTCCTGGAGGACCGCAGCGGCCACGTGTTCGGGGGCTTCGCCTCCTGCTCCTGGGAGGTCAAGCCGCAGTTCCAAGGTGAGGCAAGATGACCCCATCCCCGAGGGGTGGCGTGGAGGTGGGGGGAGGCGGCTCTGTCTCCTCCGAGTTTCCTGGACCCGGTTAGGGGCGGCAAACCATGGTGCCACTTTAGGGTGGTTTCAGGGGTCTTCCATATCCTGGCAGTGGGTGACAGGAGCACGAGAGCACAGAGCCTGCATCGTCACATGGGGGCTCCTGCATGACCTCGTGCCTGGATGGAAGGAGCCGGAAGGGGAAGGGTCAGTGCTTCCATCCCCTGGGTCTGGTTGATCCAGACTTTGATTCATTGTGGGTTTCAGAAAGTGCCAGATCTTTAGCTCTGGGAATGGCGGGAACCCTCCCTGAACCCAGGTCCCGACCTTGTAGGCAGCCTTTCTGGGGACAGCCATTGTCTCTGGCTCCTCTGCCTGCTGGCCCCCCCAGCCTGTGTCCCTACATGGGGTGTCCTCCGGGCAGCCTGATGGAGGCCATGTGGCTGTAGGACACAAGCCCCAAGAACTGTGGTTGTAGCCAGGGCGTCTCCTCTGTAGCCTCGGACATCAGCTCCAGACTGCTGGTTCCCAGGTGGTGTTAGCAGGTGGCTCAGCCTTCCTCCTGAGTGTAGGCCTACGTGAGCTACGTTTGCCACTTACATGTGGAGGAGGGCTCAGTGGAGGCCGGCTTGCCCTCAGGTGGAGCCCCTAGGATCAGCATCAGGCAGAGTGTGGTGGCCCTGGGTCTGAAGTGTCCAGTGGGTGAACAGCTTTGAAATGGCCCAAGGCCATGCAGCTGGCAGACAGGGCCAGGGGCACCTGCTTTTGGCCTGGGCATGGTGCCTGCTTCTCTGGGCCTCAGCTCCCTGAACTCAGAACTGGCACCATGCGGGCAGGTGTCATCACACCAGCAGTGGTATCGTGACTGACGTCAGGGTCCCTGTGCAGCTTCGGCTGAGGGCAGCAGGCTGTCTGGATGAGACTGTGGCCCTGTCAGGTCGCCTAGCATGGGGTGCAGTTGATGCTGCTCATCAGCACCCTTATCAGGGCCAAGCAAAGTGCTAGTTCTCCAGGGTTCAGTGCTCAGAGGGCCCTGAGAGTGCTGCCCTGCCATGCGCCCCGGCTGAGGCTGTCCTTGGCCTCTTTGGCGGGTGCCCTGCTCCTGGGCTGCCCTGCCTGCGCAGGGCCATCCCCCACCCGAGGCCCCTTGGACCTCCAGTGCCCCCCCACCCATCTGTGAATTTGAGCTCCTGCCCTGCTTCCCCCGGCTTCCATCAGCCCTGTGGGCAGCTGCCCATCCTCGGGCCCAGCGCTCAGGATGCTGCGGGTGTCCCTCTGTCCTGGGGGCCTCAGCTCCTGCACTGGGGCTCCGGGAAACTAGGGCCCATCCTGTGTGGAGTCTGGGACCTGCTGAGGTGTCCACTCCAGCCGTGGGGCACCCTGGGGTCCGCTGAGAGGGGTGAGCGGGCCTCGCCCTGCCTCACGGCCGCATTTTCCAAGCCGGAGCCCAGTGGCTGCGCCTTGTGCCCAGCGCAGACCCAGTCACCCCGTGTGCTTGCTCTCTGGTTACTTCTAGGGGACAACAAGTGCTTCCTGTTCTCCATTGCCCCCAGCATGGCCGTGTACACACCCACGGGCTACAACGACCACTACATGTACCTGAACCACAGCCAGCAGACCATCCCCAACGGGCTGGTGAGGCGCCTCCCCCTTCCTGTCAGCACTCCTGGTGGGGGCGTCCTGCTTCTCCTGGGGCCAGGTCCCTCATTGTGCCCCGTCTCAGTGCTGGGACTGTGACACCAGGCCAGGGTCCCCTGCGGGGAAGGCTGTGGCCTCAGCTGGGCCTCTCAGGGTTGGGATGCGAACGGCTCCCACGTGGTCTGTGACTTGTGGTCTGGGCAGTGCTGATGACAGCCCCGTGGCTGGGGTCAGGTCTGGGTGCAGGACCCCAGGCTGCTGGCCTGGGCTGGGGCCTTGTCAGTGAGGCGCCGTCCGGGGAGACTGCGGCAGCAGCAGCTCACTGGTTTCCTCCTCAGCTTGGTGACCAAGCAGGCGGGAGAGGAAGAGGGCTGCAGGCTGAGGGCCTGGGCCTGAGTGGGCCCGCCGGGGGGCAGGCGGGCTGAGTGGCCCCTCCCGACAGCACCTCAGTGAGCTCCTCCGTGGATTCGCACAGCACCCCAGGATCCACTCACCCTCTAAACACAAGACTTCCGGGGACATTTTAGATCTACACCCCGACAGGCAGACGCTCAGCTGGGCCGGGAGCTGTGCCCGCCTCCCGCCCCCCAGCATCTCCCCCTCTACCAGTCTCCTTCTGGGAACCCTGAGCCCTGTGGTTGCAGGGGCTAAGAAGGCGATGCCCTCAGTCAGCTGGAGGGGCCTGGGGTTCCTCTTCATGTTGCTGCCCCAGGCGGGCCATGACCAGGACACTAGAAGGCCCCCATCCTTGGATCAGTAGCCTGTGTGTCCCCAGGAGGTGCTAGTCACAGGCCTGAGGAGCAGAAGCGGCTGTAAGGGGGAGCAACCGACTGACTCATGCTTGGGGCTCCCCTTGCCCCAGCTGGGAACCAGGGCACGGCCAGTGCTCCAGGAGACGGGACTGGGGGCGGGAGGGAAGGCTTTGTGGCAGGAAGATGGCCTGGGTCGCCCCTCTGGGCCTGCTCCTGTCCTCTGTCCCGACACCCAGCCCTGAGTGAGCTGCGTGCTCTGGGCTCAGGTTGCTGGCCGCCTGAGGGGCTGTCCAGGTCACCTGTGTCCACCTGTCCCCTGTGGACATTCAGGGCCTGGGGTCCCAGTGCTTCAGTGTAGCCTCGTGAGTGCTGTGCCGTGGGTGTCGGGGGACATCGTGACTGCTGCAGTAACTTAAGTGGCCCTGATCCGGTTTGCAGTGCAGAACCGAGAGAGCCGCATGCCCTGCCCTTCCCTGGGTCTCGGGCTCGGGCTGGCTCACATCCTGGAGTTCCTGGCCCTGAGATCACTGATGCCACGCTGTCCGGACTCCTTTGCAGGGCATGGGAGGGCAGCACAGCTACTTCGGGCTGTGGGTGGACGCCGACTTCGGGAACGGGCACAGCAAGGCCAAGCCCACGTGTACCACGTACGACAGCCCGCAGCTGTCCGCCGAGGAGGACTTCCGGTTCGAGAAGATGGAGGTGTGGGCCGTCGGAGAGCCCGTGGAGTCAGAGCTGGTGGGTGCAGCACCCTGGCAAGTGTGGCAGGGCCCCGAGCGGATGGAGGGGAGCTTTCCCCACGTCCTTGGCTTTACCTCTCTGCCCTTCCATCTGGAGTTGGTTTGCCCAGGTTCGTTCCCGTGGGGGGATCCCCGGCAGACGCAGGCACAGTTGGGTGGTAGTGAGCTGCTCAGGAGTCGGGGCTGCTGCCGTGCGCACCTGCAAGCCGGGAGCTTGGGGTGACCTGTGGTTCCCTGGTTCTGCCCTTGAATGAGTCACCGAGGGCCCACGGCACGCCCCGCACCACCTTGTAACTCACAGCAGTTGCACCCCAGGGGGAGGCCCTTGGGGGTTGCTCTGGGCCCCTCGTCTCCTCCCGGCAGCAGCAGAAGGTGGGCTCCCCCTGGTGGCCGGCAGGAACAGGGCAGGAAGCCACTGCCTGGTCCTGGTTGTTGGGTCTCTCTGCATGTTACGAACACAACCACCTTTCTTCCCAAGGCCAAGGGTAAGAAAAGCGTCCTCGACGTGGACCCCGGGGCTCAGATTTTGCTGGAGGCCACTGGGTGGACTCGGCAGAGCGCAGGGTTCCCGGAAATCCCCGACAGCCACAGTGCCGACCAGTGAGCAGCTGGGACGCGGCCGGCGGAAGACAGAACGCACAGCCTGCTGGGTGGCGCTCGAGGTCCTGGATCCCCTCCGCTCCCCTCCCCTCCCCTCTGCGCCCCTCCGCTCCCATGTTGTCTAACTTGGACATGTTGCCTGGGGGACCGTGTCCAGGTTGTCTGTGATATGCTGTATCAGAACACAGCCTATGCCAAGAAAATCCCGCATATTGGTTGGGGGTTTATCACCCAGAAACGCTGTGTGTCAAATTAGCAGCTCAGCCTTATACTTGTTCATTTTGTACCAGTGGGACCCAACGACACTGAGATGTTTGGAGCTCTGCTGGCATGCTCGGTTGTTGGAGACATGAGCTTCTGTCACAGGAGAGGATGGGGTTGCTTATTTTTCAAAAACAAACATCCCACTCATGGGGGAAATAGCTGGAGAGGCTGGAGGCAGCGTGGCCCTGTGTGGCGTGGGTCTTCAGTAGGTGTCGATCCTTAGGGCTCCGTTTCCGGCCTTCTCACCCGTGTTTAAATGAGTCAGCCTGGCAGGAGGTGTGAGGTTCCATCTGTGGAGAAGCAGAGTCGCACTTCTGTTGCTAACACAGGCATTGGGGACGTTCAGGCTGGCCCGGATTCTGGACTCTGGGTACCAGCTGCTGAATCATAGCCCACTCGTGCGTCACACCCGCTGCCTGTGGCGGCTTCTCAAGGGGAAGGCTGCTCAGTGGACACCAGGACCAAACAAACTCCTGGGTCCCGAAGTGCTGGAGATTCATCCTCAGTGGGCCAAGGCGCCAGGCCCGAAGAACGACTTAGGGGTGAGTCCTTGCCCTGGAGGGCCTCCCAAAAGGATCTGTGAGTGCCTCTAGTTTGCCTTAAGAAAAGCCATACTAAATGGAGCCAGTTTGCTTTTGTTTTTGAGACAGAGTCTCGCTATGTAGTTCAGCCTGGCCTTGAACTCACTGTGTAGCCCAGGCTGGCCTCAAACTCACAGCGATCCTCCTGCCTCAGCCTCCTGAGCTCTGGGATTATGGGCATGCACCATTACACCTGGCCTCTGGTTTGCATTTTGCAGAGGCTGAATTTTCTACCAGGATTCTGATCAAATCTGCCCCATAGCCATCCCTGACTAAGGCAGAAAGCCTTGTAAATGGGCTTCAAAAGAAAAGTGCTGTCTTGGATGGGATGGGGGGATTGCGCCTGACCCAGCCAAGGACTCAGCCCTGATGGAGCTTGTGGAGAAGACGCTGGTTTGAAGTGTCTCGTAGGTGCATCTGTGAGCCTCTGGTAGGACACTGTGTCCTCAGTCATCACCACGGTCCAAAGAATTGGGCTCCTGGTGATCACTTTGTTTTGGATTTTTAAAATAAAAATGCAGTTAAATACCTCACTTGTTACAGGTCTACATGGCCTGCATTAGCTGCTGTGTTCGGGGCAGGGTAGGTTATGGCACTGTGCACCTGGCCTAAGCCAGTGTGGCTCACCGACGAGGACCCCAGGGTGGGGGGCGTCCGCCAGGCACTCGGTCTCAGAGGGTGCTGCCTTCTTGCGACAGGCAAGGGGCAGCTGTGGGGCTTGGCCTGAGGGCGCCACTCTGTACGCCTCCCTGTCCTCACAAACTGCTCAGCGTACAAAGCTGCTTGTGCCATCCACGGGGTCCCCAAACCCGATGTCCCTTGTGTGGGTTTGAAAAACTCATTTTAATAAACGAGTTTGTCCTTTTGAGAAACTGAAATGAGAATTCTGGATGTCAAGCCTCAGCGTCACCCTGCAGGTACAGACCAGTGGGGCCCAGAAAGTGATGGAAGAGGTTAAAAAACAAATACAGGCCATGTCAAAAATGTGGCTATTTCCCCACCATACATTTATTTAAAAATTAATGCGTGTACATGGTAAGAAGAAAGATGGGTGTGAGGAGAGGCAGGTCCTCTGCCTGTGCTCGCACAGTGGGAGCCCTCCCTCCGCTGTCGTTTTCTCGTGGGCTCGGCTCCAGTGCACACGAGCTCTCCCCCTCTTCTTCGGCTGCTCCAGGCTACCGTGGCACGCCCTGACCCGGTGCACACGGGGGCAGTGTTGGTTTGGGCTGGTGGTTGCAGCAGGGAGCGCCTTGTGCCTGTCTTGGGCAGCAGCCAGATTGTCGTGCTGTTTTGTGCTTTGGATGCTGACAAATAAACCTCCAGAGCTCAGTCTCTAGCCTCACAATCCCCATGCGCGGCCACATCCTCTGCAATGCCCTGTTGCAGTCTAGTGCGGCAGGATTGTCGTTTGGAATTTCTCTGGGTGATGGCGAGCAGCTTCCCTTTTGGAAAGTTATTTGTGTCGGTCTGGTTTCTAGGGTGTGGGTCTTTTTGCCACTGACTTGCAGGGGTGCTTTTGTGGTGTTTAACCTTATTAAAATACTCTCCCATACATGTATATATTTTGATTGCATCCATCTCTCCTATAACCTTCCCCCGACTTTCTCTCTCTCCCTTCTTCCCTTCCTCTTGTCTAATAATAGTCTCCCTCTACTTTCATGTCCCCTCTGTTAGATTCCTCATTTTAGGGACAACATGTGATACATGTCTTCCTGGGTGTGGCTCATTTCACTTAATGTGACTTCCACTTCCATCCATGTTCCTGCAAATGCCATAATTGCATTCTTCTTTGTGGCTGAATACTACTCCGTTGTGTGTACATATACCACATTTTCCTTACCCAGTCATCTCCTGAGTACCTGTGTTGGCTCTGTATCTTGGCTGTTATAAATTGTGCTGCCGTAAACATGGGTCCGCAGTATCCCTATGGTATGGTGACTCCGTATTGATTTCAGTGGTAGCTGTGCTCATTTGCATTCCCAGCAGCAGTGTGGAAGCGTTCCTTCCCCCACATCCGTGCCAGTATTTGTTGTTTCTGTAACTCTTGATGATCAGAATTCTGACTGGGGTGGAGTGGAATCTGTGTACTTCTGATTGCATTTCCCTAATGGCTGAAGATGTTGAACATTTTTTATGTACTTGCAGTTTGTACTGCTTTTGAGAAGTGTCTGCTTGATTCACTTGGCATTTATTAGGCCCTTTAAGTTTTTGGTGTTAAATTTTCTGAGTTCGTTGTATAATCTAGATGCTAATCCTGCCGGAAGAGTAACTGGCAGGGATTTCCTCCCATTCTATGGGCTCTCCTCACTCTGTTGGTTTCCCTGGCTGTGCAGAAACTTAATTTGGTGTGGTCCTGTTTGTGACTCTCGCTATTATTCCTTGTGCCCCAGGAACTATAGTCCTGTTCAGAAAGTCTTTGTGCCCATGGCTTCAAGGGTCTCCCCTGTGGTTTTTCCCAGCAGTTACAAAATTTCAGGTCTTATTTCTAGGTCTTTGATCCATTTTGAATTACTTTTTGTTCAGGGTGAGACATAGGGATCTAATTTCAAAGAGGCCGTCTTTTTGGCTTTGTCAGAATCAGATGGCTGCAGTGGTGTGGGTTTGTTTCTGCATTGTATATTCAGTGCTGTTGGTTTACATGGCTATTTTTGTGCTAGTGCCACGCTGTTTTTGTTACTATGGCTTTATAGTATAATTTGAGGTCAGGTATTATAATGCCTCCAGCCTTGCTCTTGTGGTTTAGGATTACTGTGGCTATTCTGGATCCTTTGTGTTCCCATATGGATTTCAGGATTGTTTTTTCTAGTTCTGTAAAGACTGTCTTTGGAATTTTGATAGGGATTGCACTGAATCTGTAGATCATTTTTGGAGATGTAGCCATTTTAACAATATTCTGCCGATCCGTGAACAAGATCTTTCCACCTTGCAGCATCTGCAGCTTCTCTCCTCAGTGTTCCATACTTTTCCTTGTAGAGGTCTTTTGCCTCCTTGGTTAGGTTGATTCTTGGGTATTGTTTTGCTTGAAGCTGTTGAGAATGGAATTGTCTTGATTTTCCCAGCTAGTTGTTATTAGTCTAGAGAAGAGCTATTTTTAAAATGTTTTTGTATCCTGAAGAATGCTTTTTATAAACAAAGCATGACAGCATTTGCTGTGTATGGTAAATATTTCTCTAGTTGGTTTGACTGTGGCATTTTTCTGTTCATAAATTTTATGTCACATTGGCTGTCATTTCCTCTGAAGATTTCTGGGATGGACAGTTTAGGAAATCCTCACTCTGAGAAAAGTAGTAGACAATTTCTTCTGTTTTCATGGCTCTTTCTGCATCTTTGGTCTATTCAAAATGCATTTTTCAGATATACCTCCATCTTACCCTAAAGTCCCAATACCTTTTATGTTAAATATCACACCTTTTCAGGCCAGGGATTTAGCTCAGTGGTTTCGCCACCTGCTGTGCAAGCATAAGGACCCGAGCTCGATCCCCGGTACAAAAAAAAAAAAAAAAAATCACACTTTTTCCTGACTTAAAATGTCACTTTCTCACCTGGTGAGTTTCTGAATGAAACTCAGTCTCTCTCATGTTTTAATTGGTGTTTTAGGGTTAGATAAAATAAGAGCTATTTCTCACCTCCTGTTTCTTGGACTCCCCTGCAGGCATGTGGGCGCCTGTTTTCCCCGAAAACGCTGTGACTGCTGCTGGGAGCCGGCGTGGGCGTTTTCAGGATCCGTCTGCCTCAGTGGCCTGTGTCAGGCTGAGGGTTGGTGACATGGACGCTGTCCCAGGAGGGGACACAGGGCCCGCCAGTCCCGCTTCTCCTGGCCGTTGGCCCTGCAGTTGTAGGAAGCTCTTGACTCTGTAGTTTTGCCCATTACCTGAGTTGTTCACCCAGTGGTTCTCAACCCTAGTACACACCAGGGTTGCCCAGAGGGCTTTTCCAAAACATGCACTGTGGGGCTCCGCTCCCCGCTTCTGGGGGAACCCTGGGGGTTGCGGCCGAGAACGCACATCTGTGAAAGACTGGGTGGTGCTGTTGGTCCCAGGTCTCCAGGTGGGAAATGCCACTACTGCGTGCTTGATAATTTATCGGAACTCTAGGAGTGTGTAGCCATTACAGTCACATACCTAGAAATAAGGATAATTTCTCATTCTTCCAGTTCTTCACCTGTGTTTTTCTCAACTGACTGCTTCAGCAAATCCTTCCACATCAAAAACAGCAAGGCATCCTTCAATTCCTACCTCTTGCTGCCATGCATCTAGGCCAGCGATGACGAACCTTTTAGAGTTGTCAGCGATACAAGCAGCCCACCGTGGCACGCGTGCCACAGGTTTGCCACCCCTGATCTAGAGTTTGGTCATTCAGCGCAGTGCTGGCCTTTGCTTTTTCTCTTGTGAAGTATCCATTTGCATGTGTGTCATGAAGAGTTTTTGCCAGGAGTAGATGTTGAGTTTTGTATAAAGGTGGGTTTTTGTTTTAGCAGGTCTGCCTTCCTTCCATAGTTATTAATAGGGAATATGAGGTTAATGGTTTTAGATACTGAGCCATCTTTGCCTTGAACTGTCGTCGTGTTTATACACTTGTGTGTGTGTGTTACATTTTATGTAAATGATGTAAATCATACTTTGGGATTTTGGTTTTGGTTTTTTGTGCTGGGGAGCAAACCTAAAATAATCACCCGGCTCTGTCACAGCACTTCACGGGACCCCCACCCCTCGAGGGCCTCGGAGTGGCCGGCAGTGGGGCCCGGTGTTCCTTCTCCCCGGGAGCCCTGTGGCCCAAAGACCTGACCAGTGAGCGCAATAAAAACCGCTGTGGTTTAATAAATAGCACAGCATGGCCTGCAGCTCCTCCAGAGCCCAGTGCCAAGGGCCAGATGCTGAGGCTCCAGGGATCGCCCAGAAGCCTGCCGCATGGGCTGCTGCGCCCGCTGTGTCCAGGGCAGGCCACAGACCCCGGGCAGCACGGCCGCTCAGGGGTGCTCGGGGGGCTCCTGGGCTTTCCTGGCGCAGGAGCAGCAGCGCTTTTCGCAGAGCTTCAGGAGCTCCGAGAAGATGAAGACGGACGAGGCCAGGCCAGTTAGGAACAGCAGGTCTGCAGGGGGAGGAGCGAGCAGAGGGTGAGAGGCAGCCGGCCAGCAGCCCTGTCCTTCTCAGCACACGGAACCCGGCCTGGCTTCCCTCTGGGTAAAGTAGGGGGACAAGGGAACCGGGGCGCCCAGGCTCCTCTGGGCCTCGCTGCGTGCAGGTGTCCCCCGCCCAGGGTTCTGGGGTTCCGACTCCCCACTGTGGAAACGTCCCTTTAATAACCGGTTTTGGTTCCTTTTGTCTTCTCTGGCACCTCAGCTGGACCCTGCAGTCTCATCTGTCCAGCCTCACGGCGCTGAGCCGCCCCGGACTCTGGGGAGTGGGGCTGAAGCTGCAGCCACCCTGACTGTCTTGGGCGGCCGCCTCCCCAGCCTCCTCTGCCCTCCGATCCTGAGTGGCGGTGGCCAGAGGCAAGCTCAGCCTGGTCCGGGAGGGCGACTCGTCCCTCTGGCCTGGTCCTGCCCTCTGCCACAGGCTGAGGGACAGTCCCTGCCCCGGCCCACCTGGCTGAGAACACATGGGAGTCTCAACTCAGCCGTGTCCCTTTCAGCTAGCATGGGTGGTGGCTCTGCTCCCTGTCTCCAGTTGAGCTGATGTCTAAGGAACATGAGCCCCAGGGCCCAGCTGGGCGACGTCAGAGCTGAGCCCAGGACTCCAGGGGCTGCACTTGCAGCCGGGCGCTAGGATGCCGATTCCCATCCCCGGGCTCACCCAGGGCCCCCAGGTTCTCCGTCTGGAAGACCTTCTGCAAGGGCGGGACGTAGATCACGGCCACCTGGCCCAGCAGCGACCCGAGGACCGAGTAGAGGAACATGCGGTTCCTGAGGAAGCCGATTTCGAAGATCAGCTTGGTCTGCGGGGAGAATGGGGGCCTCGGCTTGGGCAGGGTCACGTCTGTCCCCTGCTCCGTGCTGCCAGGTCCAGGCTGGGCTCAGTGGGAGGGAGGGTAGCCTGGCAGGGGACGCAGTGGCCCCGGCTCACCTGGGAGCGGCAGGTCAGGGCGTTGAAGAGGTCGAAGAACACAAAGCACGTGAAGGTCATGGTGGTGGTGCGGGGTGTGCTGGCTCTGTCCTCGGGGACCTGGGACACAGGTACTGGGGAGGTGGGGGATCTGGGAGCGGTGCCTCCCCTGAGGGGTGGAGCAGGAGGCCGTGCAGGCTCCCTTCACCCTTCTGCTGGGTGCTCCCCAGACATCACCCCGCAGCCCATGGCTGCCCACACCTGCAGTGCTGCCCCCGTGTCCTGGGCCCTGCTGCCGCCCTGCTGCTACAGTGAGCACAGCCCGGGGTGAGGGGACACTGCCCCTCCAGAAGGCGCCTGCTCCCGCGAGGTCGTGCCCTCCGGGGAAGACAGGGGCCCAGGACCCCACAGGAGTGGGGCTGGGAGGTTCTGGGCCACTCTTGCCTTAACACCCCCAGCCTGACAGGATCCGCTGTTCCCGGTAGGACTCTTCAGGCCTGGTTTGATCCCCCCACACCCTGCCAGTGAGTGTTTACAGCTGGGTGGGGCCTGAGCCCTGTGTCCCCTGTGGGGTCCTGCCACCGTGTGTCCCTCACGCTGAGGACTGTAGGACCCTCCCAGCCGGGGGGATGCAGAGGCCCAGGTGAGGACAGCTGGTGTCCTCTGGACCACACAGGGTCCCTCAGAGGGTGACAGGGTGCCCAATCCCCTGCCTCTTTTCCAGGCTCCACCAGTGGCTCCTGAGCCTGCAGGCCGTGGGAGGTGAGCCAGATGATGTCCCCAGAGGACAGGACAGGGGTGTCCTTAAGTTTTCCTGTGGCTTCCTGGCCCAAGAAGCTCGCATGCTCCCTCACACATCTGCCACCCCACCTGGCACTGGCTGGCAGCTCCTGCAGGCCACTCACCTCTCTCCAGAAGACAAAGAGGGTCCCGCTGATGATGGTGGCGGCGGACATGAGGATCCTGAGGAGGACCGCCCTGCTCAGGATCGTGTCCTCCATGCTCCGTGGTGGCTGCCCCAGGGTGTCCCTGTCCACGGGCTCCACCCCCAAGCTGCTTGGGACAAGACACACAGCACTGAGCTAAACCAGGCTGCGTGAATGGGTCGCGCTCAGCCTGGTCCACCCCGTCCTCCCTGCCCGTGGCTGCTGCCAGACGCTCCATGGCCTGTTCCCTTCTCCATCCTCACCTGGCTGCCGCTGTCCCCAGAGAGTGAGGGTGACCACACAGTACCTTCCCATGATTCTTCCTAACCCGAGGGCCCAGGGGACACAGGACCCTGCTCTGCCCCCCAGGCACGGAGGGTGCGCCTCACCCTGTGTGTGGCAGCCGGCTCTGCCCAGGAACCTGGGATCCAGCCTTGGCTGCGGCCCTCGCAGGGAACACTGGGCAGGGGCTGCCCCTTCTCTCTCCCACTTTGGGGACACAAACCAGGCCTTAGCCTCCGTAGGAGCAGCCACATTTGAGATGGTGCTCACGCCTAAGCCAACCGCTTGGTCCCACAGGCCTCCAGCTGTCCTTCAGCCAGCCGGGCCCAGGACAAAAGCCCAGCCCTCGAAGCCAGCGGGCTAATGGGGGATGGGGCCCAATCACAGAAGCAAACCCAGGAACACTCTCCCCTGAGGGAAAGGCAGCTGGTGGGGGCTTGAGTGTTGCTCGGAAGCCATGGCCTGGCGAAGAGGGGATCATTGGCTGCTTCCTCTCTCCCCAAGTGTGACACACTTGTTTCCCGGGCCCTGCCCATGGAGAAGGACAGCGCGCCTGTATCCCTGCAGCCCTGGCTGGCTGTGCAGAGGCAGTGGTGGACCCCGGGAAGGAGCACAGGCTCCCCCCTCACCTCTGCGCCGGCGGCCCGTCCATGATGATGTTCACCCACAGGATCTGCATGGCGTTGAGCGGGCTGGGCAGGTTGCACACGGTGGACAGAGTGATGAGACTCAGGGCTGAGATGCTCCTGGGGGCACAGCGTACGCCACCGTCAGCCCTGATTGCTCGGCCCAGCAGCGCCCAGCAGCCTGGGCCCCGCTGCCTCCACTTACGTGCTCAGCTGGAACCGCACAAAGTTCATGATGTTGTAGAAGATGCCCTTGCCCTCCTCCACTGCGCTCCTGCAAGGGACAGGGACGGCCTGCTGTGGTGACCAGACCTGGGGCCTTGGTCCTCCGTGCAGACCCTGTGCTCGAGCCTCCAGTGAGACCCAGAACCCTTCGGGCTCAGCGCTTGGTTACCAGTTTGAGACACGGCAAAACCAAGGAATCCTGGGAGACAGTGGAAGGGAGGCCGAGAAACGTCACCCGGCATGTCTGCAGGTGGCTCTTTGGGGTCATCTGGAGTAGAAACTGTCAAACCCATTTTTATTTAAAATTTGCAGAAGATCTGAAAGAATAACGCTCTATATTTACTGCATTTTATGACTGCAGTTTTTTTAGGGAAAAGCATTTTCAGGGTTCCTGTGCTGCATCCCCTCCATTTTTTTTTTTTTTTTTTAGTACTGGAGAGAAGCCCCGGGCTCCCCCTGAGCTGCGTCCCCATTGAGCGTCTCACTAAGCTGGACAGGTTGGGCTTAAACTTTCCACCCTCCTGCCTCAGCCTCCCAGAGTGTCTGGATTACAAGGATGCACCACTCTGCCTAGCTCAAGAAAAGACTCCTTTGCTGGTAAGGCTGGAGTTTTTGCAACTAGAAAGCCACCTAACTAGGGCTTACATGATGGCTGAGAAGTCGTCATCCACCAGGATCATGCTGGCGGCCTCTTTGCTGACGTCCGTCCCCGCCTGCCCCATGGCGATCCCGATGTCTGCAGACTTAAGGGCGACTGCGTCGTTCACACCGTCGCCCGTCATGGCCACGATTGCCCCTGACTCCTGCAGCGCCTGGAGGAAGTGTGAGCAATGGGAGCTGTGGCTGAGGACCCCGGTCCAGACCCCCCCCCGCCCCGGACACTGCGCCTTGCCCACTGCTAGCGACAGAAGCCGAGTCTGCATCAGCTCCTCCCGCAGCCCATGAGCCTTTCAGCCTCAGTTTCCCCTACTGGAGGCAGCTATCCTTGCTGCAGGCTGTGGTGGGGCTCAGTGGGGAGGAGGGACGGGAGGGTTCCTGGCCATGAGCAGAGGCTGGTGAGGTCACCCGGTCCCAACCTGTGAGGGTTACGTGTTTTTGAGGAGCCACTAGTATTGAGATTTACCCTGTAGCATAAAAGGCCTGAAAAGGAACAAGGCAAAACCCCCAACTAACATGGGCAAAGCTCAGCTGCCAAAGACTCTGTATTTGGTCCCAAGTCCTCCCACGTTTGGCTGGGCATGGGCCTGCCCTGCTAGAAGTGACACTTCCCAGCATCCCTTGCAACTAAAGCTGGTCAATTGACAGGGCTGTAGGCACAGAGAGTGGAAAGGACAGTGGCGCTACCACCCACCCTGGATGTCACCGAGGGACCCATGAACTCTGTGACAGCAGCACGGCTGTGCCCCTTGCCTAGCATACCTTGATAATCTTGAGCTTGTGCTTTGGGCTGGTCCGGAAGAACACAGACACCTGGATGTGGTAATGCAAAAGAACAGTCACCACGTGGGGATGTGTGACCCCCGATTCTCACCCTAGAGTGTGGGGTTCAGCTGCATCATGGTGCCACAGGATTGGTGTGGGGGCCTCTGAGTGGACAAGTAGGCACATTCTGGGTATGGCTGGGTGGGTCGTGGGGCATGGCCTTGGGGTGTATGCCTGGTCCATCCGTCCTTCCTTCCTAGCATTCTTTCCTGCTCTGCTTCCTATTCCCCAAGAACTAAGCATCTTTCTTCTGCCACATCCTTCCTCCATGATGCTCCTGCCATGGAGCCAGCCAACCATGGACTGAATCCCCTGTAACCAGGAACCAAATCAAAGCCCCCCCTTTCATTATGGGTGCCAGACATCCTCTCCCAGCAACGGAACGCAGACCACTGGGGGGAACCCACCTCCCTGACGAGGCCCACCAGTGTGCCTGGCTCTGTGCTCTCCACTTCTTCCCCCGACATGGCTCTCAGCTTCCCATTGCACAGGCCAATGTCTCTTCCTGCAAGAGAATCCACTCTGGGGGCTCGCTTGAGGCCTGAGAGTGGTCCCCGCCGCCCCACTGTCACCCCACCTACCTGACACCAGTCTCCATCTGGGCAGCAGAGAATGGAAATAAGACCACAGTGGGTACCATTTCCTGAGCACCTACTATGTGGCCAGGATCTCTGTTCCACCCACAGCACTGACAAAAAGGCCTTATGCTGCTCAGTTTAAAGACGAGGAACAGAGAAACTGTAGACAGCAAACCGGGGACCTGATGTGGTTCTCTGTACTTCTAAAGCCCGTCTCAAAGCCGACGTGCGGCAGCCCGCACTAGGAGCAGGACCGGAGTGGCAGGAGGAACCTGCCCATCCTCTCCCCATGGGGACACCAAGGGTCAGAGGGGTCAGCGCCTTCCTAGGGGCACAGCCAGGGGCAGAGGCCTGAGTGAAACTACACGCTGCCCGCTGCTGCCCGTGAAGGCAAGGTGAGGCCAGCACACAGTGGGTCCTCAGTTTACACGAGGATGCCCCTGTCCCCTTCTGGAGAACCCGCTGGTGTCTTGGAAGGCAGAGTGGGGGAACCGATCGGCGGTCTCAGAGGCCTTTCCAGGCACTGCAGCAGGGCCAGGCTCTCCTGACGGCTTCCCCGAGGACGGAGCGGCCGAGGCAGAGCCATGAGCAGGAGGCTGACCCCGCCCTTTGCCCGTTACCTATGGCCGAGGCTGTCTGCAGAGCGTCTCCCGTTATCATTTTCACGGACACCCCCGACTCTGAGAGCACCCGGACTGCTTCCTTCACGCCGTCCCGCGGGGGGTCGATGATGCCCACGAGGCCCAGGAACGTCAGCCTCCCCAGCTCGGGCCCTGATGCCAGTGCCAGCACTGTGGACGGACAAGAGCCAGGGCGTCATGGGGCCCAGCCAGCCCCTCGTGGCCCAGTCCCATCGGTGAGGGCCTGGGCACCACATTCCCACACGGGCAGGCCCTCGAAGCAGGCCCCTGGAGCCACAGAGCCCCAGGCCAGGCAGCAGTGCCAGGGACAAGAGCCCCAGCAGGAGGCAGGAGTGGTCCACGGAGGCCTAGAGCCCCACCCGCCCAGCAGGTCCGGCCAGAGCTTGGGAGGGCAGCAGCACCAATTACCACTCTGCACTTGCTCCAGTCACTTGTCACCTCCAGCAGGTGGGGTGGCTACCACCAAAGACTAAGAGAAGCTTACGCTGGAGCCACGGTGGAGTAGATTCTGTCTACGGTCCCGGCCTGGCCATGGACAGTGGCACCGAGCCAGCCCCGCTTCTGGGGGCCCAGTGATCTGAAAGGCGGCAGTGTGCCAGCCTGTGTTACCTTGCTGCCACCTGAAGGGGGCTGTGACTAAGAAACCTCCAGCAGTGCTTTCCTGTGGCCCAGTCATAATGGAGTAGTTAGTAGTGCAGGTGCCACGGGCTAATTATGTCACTGCCATGTGCCGACAGGGCTGCTGGCTTTGCTATTAGTATCGGTGCCACCCTGTCCCTGGGACTATGCATCTCCTCTGCCCCCTTGTTCCTGGAACCGTCTGCAGTCATTCTATACCAGAGGACCTAACTGGCTCTGTGCTGCTGTCCCTGGACTTTGCTCCCCACGGCCATCGGCCTGGTCACTTTTTCTTGTTGTGTGGAGGGAGACACCTCGCATAGTAGGTGCTCCATCCGCTCCCTGGCTGAGGACAGCCCCTCCGGTTCCCACGCCAGCCCCAGGCCTGGAAGAGACGAGCTCCTTGTAAACACGAAACGCTCATGTGCGACCGCAGAGGGCGCGGAGGGTCTGGCCAGCCCCAGCCACCCGGGCCTCCTCCCTGGAAGCCCAGAACCAGTCCCTGTGGGCATCGGCTCTGCAGCCAGGCAGACCTGGGCTCAAGTGGCGGCTCCACGGGACCCTCCAGGATCACCACGGGGGCTCGTGGCAGCTGGCATAGCCCAGGCCACAGTCCTCGGGGGCACTTTGCTCAGTACCTGGCAGCAGGCGGGGCCCACGCTCGGTGAGCAGGAACAGATGTGGGGGCCTGGGCCCCGTGGGAGCCTGACTCCCGAACCTGCCGGGAAGTTGGTGTTCGTGGCATCCCCTTGGTCCCCTGGCCACACTGGACCCACAGGGGGCATTTAGTGCCTGGGGCATGGCAGGGGCTCCACTTTGCCAACTCCAGGCTCCTGCCTGTCACCTAAGACCCTGCCCCAGCTCAGCCCACTGTCAGGGTTACTCTCGAGCTCGGAGCCCCAGGCCGGGCCCTGGCACTGACCCCGCAGGCCGAGCGACCCCATCCTGTTCTCCTCCTGCAGGCAGAATGCCTCCTGTTGGGGCGTCAGAGGCAGGGGGACGCCCCCGTAGTTGTACATGGTGCAGGAGCGGATCACTTCCTCAAAGGCCCCTTTCATGAAGTAAATGTCTCCCTGGTCCTTGGAAAAGACAAAAGGAAGAATCCACTGTGAGGAGTGCCTCTGCTAATGTGACCGTCACCTCATTCTGCACACACAGAGGAACGCTGTCAGGGGAGGTATTGCAGGCTGTTGCCATTCACAGATACAGGACAAATTAGTAAATCATGGCATCCACACAATGGAATACTATGCACCCCATGAAAAGAATGAGCTCGATCTTTGACTGTCACCCGGTTCTGCACAAAGTGCCCTCATTAATGTTGCCGGGGAAGCCTGTATACAGGAAGTGGAGACTCCCAGGTATTTTGTCTGGACTGCGGTCCCAAGGTCCCATTTGTGTCTGTTGTGCTCCTGCGACTGGGCTCAGGAGTGAGCTGGTTGAACAGTGGGTCTCTGCCTTGTGTGTTTGCTAAGCGAGCATTGCCCTATGTACTAGACCGTCAGCTTCCTGTGGGCAGCACCCCAACACCAGCAGTGCCCACTGGGCACCGGCAGTGCAGCCAGTGGCTGGCTGTTAGCACAGAAAGCCCAGGCTCACGGGAAAGGCATAGGGGGTAAAAGGCGCTCAGACACTATGACCTTGTTTTGAAAATGGCCACTGCCGTGCTGTGAGCACAGAGCTGGGGTCCAGATCACTGGATGCCAGCCTGTAAAGGAGCCCCCGGAGGGCAGGCTGGGAGAGGAGCAGGGATGAAGAGCATCTGTGCTTGGCCCATTGCTCGACAGCCCGTCTCCCATTGGACTGCGTTACCGTTGTCCCTGGTGGCAACAGATTCCACGGCATAGAGGGAATCCTAGCCCTTTTGGGCACTCGGAATTCGCAAGTCCTCCTTGCAGGACCTGGGAGGAGCTGGGACAGGAGGAGAGAGGCCTGTAGGGACAGCCAGGCTGGCCACAGGGAAGAGGGGCGGGGCCTGTGTGTGGCAGAAATCACTGCTCAACATCCTTTTTCCATTGAAGATATCTGAAAAGCCACAAGAAATCTACAAGGGTAAATGCAAGCAAAACCAGCCATAATCCTCCCACCCTGAGCAGCCACCAATAGTTCAGTGTGTCCCTCTTGTCACCTACGACACACGCACCCAGGCCTGGGTCCATGCACACACGTGTGTCAGCCCGTCGCTCACACTGGGTGTGGCTCTGGGTGCCCTGTCGGTGCCCAGAGATTTTGTCCCCTCTGTGTGATGTGCAGTGAGCTACCGTGACACGGGGACTTGAGGGAGGAACCTGTGAGGCAGCTCTGGGGCCACCGTGACTGTGAGGACGTCACTCGTGGCCACCATTGGCCGCATTTCAGGGGGACGGGGCCCAGGAGCGAGCACCCCACGCACCTGGCTCGAGTGGCACCTCACGGCCATCCACTTCTGTGCAGAGCTGAACGGGATCTCCTCCTGCCTCACGTATGTGTCCTTGATGTCGCCCAAGTCCATCTAGGGGAGGAGATGGCGTTTTCAGCACAGCGCCCGAAGCTGCTCCCTGGTGCGGCAGTCAGCGGTCGCTCAGACTGAGCGCAGAGCGGAAGTCCCAGCGCTCGGCTCACAGCGAAGGGCCATCTGCTCTCAGATGTCCCTGTTCTCTTGTCCTGGGTCAGACCCAAGGTCCAGGCTTTGCTTCCCTGAGGACCCCTGCGCCCCCTGGTGGCCCCGCTGCCCGCACCAGGCCCTGCCAGGCCTTCAGGTGTGCGCTGCCATGGCTTCTAGCCCAGTTACCCACAGACCAAGGCTCGGTGTCCTGCCCTGTGAACTTGTCTCTGCCGTGCACACCCACAGGCACAGACGGGGGTCCTGTGGAGCCACAGCAGCTGCGGGCCACTGCCGGGTGCCTTGATGGACCTCCTCCCATCTCTCCCCAGCATCTGCTCAGGGTTCAAGCCATGGGTGCTGAAGGACTCTCCTGGAGCCCTGGGGGGGCGCCCCAAGCCCTGGTGGATGCCCACGGCCACGCCTGCTGCAGACCCCGGGGTGCGCACCTTCATGGCCAGCGCGAGCAGGGCCCCGTCCGTGGGCTGCCCCAGCACCGCACCCCTGCTGATGACGGCATTGTTGGCCACGCAGCCTGCCTGCAAGGGGTTTGGAAAGTGCAGTTGGCACGAGGAGCCGCCACCGTAGGGTCCCCGGCTCCCCCGGGACTGTGGGGAAGTTGGGTGTGTAGACACTGCCGACCGCTGGCCGGGCCGGCACCCACCACGCAGGGAGCGGAGCCAGCTCAGGCAGAGGTGGCCACAGCAGCGGGCGGCTATCCCAAGCCAGTTCCAGCATCCACTTTCTGCACGGGGCCTCTTGAGTCCAGCAGCAGTGCCCTGCTCCCGTCCCTCCCGAGGCTCCATCTGTCCTGGGGCCACGTTGCCAGCCCTGGGGAGCAGCCGGGCCGCCCAGTGCCCACTCGCCCAGTGCTGGTCTCCCATGGGGAGACCCGGTGCCACCACGCATGGCTGTCCTCACCTCCACCAGCTTCCCCACCGAGACGCTGGTGAAGCCCCTGATGACCTCCTTGGCCGGGAGAAGATGCACAGTCCCTTGGCCATTGTAGCCGACTCCGCTGACCTGCAGGCACAGTGGGAGCAGGGAGCTGGCGCCTTGGACGGTGCAGAGTCCCCACCAGGGTCCGACCCAGGGCCGTAGTCTCCCTCTCTCTCTCACATACACACGGAGACGCCCCTGCAGGGTTAGTGGCCCGGAGAGGGCGGTGGTCTAGGACGCTGGGCAGGCGTCTCCAGACTGAGCCTCAGAGTAGATGCTGCCTCTGCAGCCACACCCGGTCACTGCGCCACACCTGCAGCCGGTGATGGAGCCACAAACAGGGGTCTCAGGGCACCGGGGAAACTTCACCTACAGAAGCCAGCCCAGGGCTGTGATCTGCGGATCCCTTCCTCTGAAAAGCTTCAGGGGAAAAAGATGAGGATGCAGAATTGCCCACCTGAGAGCCAACAGCAGTGCGAGGCGCACGGGAAACAGAGAGCAAGTAGTGGGGATGGCCCCGTGGCAGGGGCGGGTGGGGAATGCAAGGTTTCGGGCAGTTCAGCGGTCACGCTTGCCTGGCATGTGCAAGGCCCTGGGTTCGAGCCCCAGCACCACAAGAAATTAAAAAATGAGTAAAATTTTTTGTAAAATGTCCGTTGAAAAACAAAACAATAAAGGATGCCATGTTAACTCGGCCGTGTTCTCTGCTGCTGTTCGCAGGTGGCGCTGGCAGCACAACCAAGCCCCTTCCTCACCAACTCCCAGTAGCCGCAGGGGCCTCCCTCTAGGAGAGGCCAGCAGGGCGCACACAGTCCCCAGCCCGTGGCTTTGAGGGAAACTCACCTCCGCGCGGACCCCGTCAGACGTCACCAGCTGGGTCACCGTCATTTTGTTGGCTGTCAGAGTCCCCGTCTTATCAGAGCAGATGACGCTGCAGCAGCCTGGGACCACGGAACAGCAGCGCAGGGACCAGAGGTGTCGCCACCACAGTCTGAGGTCGGCTGGCCACCACCCGCCTCTCCCCACCCCACGAGGAGCGTGCCCTCACCCAGGGTCTCCACGATGGGCAGCTTCTTCACGATGACTCGCTTCTTGGCCATCCGCAGCACGCCCAGCACCAGGGTCACCGTGACGACGATGGGCAGGCCCTCGGGAATGGCCGCCACGGCCAGGCTGGATGGAAAGGCCCCGCAGGACAATGTGGACCCCAGCTGGGCTGGCAGACTTGCCTGAGTGTCCCCAACACCCCCGGCGAGTCTACATTCCCAGCCCCACAGGCCTGCTCTCTCCTCAGCACCTGTTTCCCTGAGCCCCCTGCTGTGGGGAAGTGACCTGTTTTACCAGACAGTCACACGTGAGCATGAATTAGTGTCTCTCAAGGCTTCTCTACGTGCTTTTGCATTTAAATCATTCTCATATATTGGAGAGATGCAAGTCTGTGGGTCCAAAAGAATTTCCAGTCTCTGGCAATAAGCTAGAAGCGGCAGTTTGGGCAGCATGAGGGTCCTAGGGTTTCACTGTATGGGGAAGCCAGTCAAGGACATGAAAGAGGTGGCCTCAGCCACGGGGTAGATTATTCTGGGGGTCTGCTCGCTTCTCAGCCTCCCGCTCCTCTGTACCACATGACCCTCTTCCCACAGCTGTGCTGATGGGCTTTGAGGACGACTTGACCAGGCTCTCTTCCCTGGGGAGGGACACGGCACTGAGACCCGAGGATGTCCCAGGATCCCCCGGTCCACACCCCGGAATGGTGAGTTGGCCGAGGCCTGAGGTCTGCTCGGAACTCTCTGGGGCGGACCCAGGTCAAAGGTGGCTGGTGCAGGTGGTCACCGTGGAAGCTTATGGTGGTCACCTGGTGTTCACCTCGCTATTCTCTCTACTTTGATATTTACTTGAAATTTTACTTTAAAATATTTAAGCAATAAATATAAAAAGAAACCGCAATGGCCCAGTTAGTCATCAACTGACAAACAGATGGAAAAACGTGGCCTGGCCACACAATGGAGTACTATTCAGCCACAAAAAAGGAATGGAGCTCTGATAACACATCACAGCGTGGATGCACCTTGAAAATATGAGGCTAAGAGCCGGGCATAAAGGCCACAGAGTGCACGACCCATTTGTGTGACACGTTCAGAATAGGTGAGTCCGAGACAGAGGCTGGTGACTGCTGGTGACCCAGTGTGGAGAGGAATGGGTGGTGGTAGCTAAAAGGACCCAGGGTCTTTCTAAAGCGAAGTCCCAATTTTTATCAAATTGGCAGCAAATTCCAACTTTGACAAAAGGAAATGGTTCAAGCAAATCACATCTGGCTGTGTTTCCACCGGGGTGTCCAGCCGGACGGACTCGGCCACCGTCTGCCGTGGTGACAAACGGGACGAGCAAAGGCACGCGGGGATCCTACCGAGCTGGCCCACACGCAGCGCCCCACCGAGGAAGCGTGCGTCACCCTGTCACGCGCGGCCACCGCACTTCCCTGGGCCTAAGCCCATTCCACCATCAGGTGTGCGACAGAGCACAGACACCACCACCTGACGCGCAGCCCAGGCCTCCCTCGTGGCGTCGCTCATCAGACCTGACTGGGGACGCGGGCGGCCTGCGTGCACGGCCACCTTTCCCCTGCATGACGGACCAGCGGAGGCAAGTCCATAACCGGGGCGCCCAGGCGGGCCAAGGGGCCGTGCCCAGTTTCCATGGCGATGGCAAGACGTTGTCTTTGGTTTGGAGGCACAGGCGGGCGAGGCCAGCTGAGCAAACATTTGCCGAGGGTTAGGAGGGGACCGGCCTCGCCAGGCGTGGACAGGGCCTCGGATGTGTCATGGTGATAAAAGACTAATCCACAAACTAATAAAGATTCAGGGATGGGGAAGGGCGAGTCCTGGGATCACCTCGGAGGTCCCGGGAACGGGGATTAAGCCTTGGACAGTTCCCTGGTGGCGTGCACTTGGGCGAACCTCGCCGGCCGTTCTGCTGAAGGTTTCTGCTCCCACTCAGGGTCTCGGTGACCTTCATCCGCCACTAAGAGCTGCAAGCTTGCACCCCTTGGTGTCAGCAGTGGAAGGCGGGGGTTCCCTCTCTCGGGGCAAGTGCACCTCGGTCCCGGGGCTGGACGGGTTCAGCAGGGCATCGTGACGGGGTCAGAAGTGACGCGATTTGGGGGCGAAGCTTTCGTTCCGTCCCCAGAGGTTCCCTAGTCTTTCCGGCTCCGGGGCTTTCCCGGTCTGTGTTAGCCCTGCCAGGGAGGTTTCCCAGCTCCCCGCTTGCCCCAGGCCCCCTAGGCCCAGGTTTCCCTCCTGCCCCACCCCTGAGGCCTCGCCCCGCCACAGAGGTGACCTCCGCTTCTGTTCCTGTCCTGCTGGTCTGCACTAGGAGAAGCCTTTTTTGGTTTTTTTGACACGAGGTCTTACTAAATTGCTGAGTGGCCCAGGCTGGGCTGGAATTCTCCATCCTCCTGCCTCAGACCCCCAGACTACTGGGGTGACAGGTATCAGCACCACACCAGGCTGGGCAAGGCTTCCCATCCAGCCTCTCAGCTCAGACTCGCTCTGGGACTCCCCGCAGCAGTGCCCTGGGGATCCTGTGAGAAACACAGAGGTGGGGCCGGCCATCTCCTCTCTCGGAATGTCACTCGGTCACCCTACACTGCACAGTCCCCAGCACTGGCCTCCTACCCCACCTCCACGTCCCCCAGCCTCCATCCCAGGGACCAGCGCCTCTCATTCCTCTGCCCCAGGATGCTGGGTACAGGGGGAGAAAGAGGGGCCTTGAGCTGCCCCCGTCCGACCCTAACAGAGGCTAGGATGTCCTGCTGCCCGCGGGCCCAGCTGGTGTCCTAGCCAGGCCCTCCGGTGGTGCCACGTGAGCCCTGCACCGGCCCCAGGCATCTCCTTCCTGCCCCTCTTTGATTCCACATCGAAGCGACAGGGCCACTTCCCTCTGCTCACCCCACCTCCCTTTAATCCCTCTCAGCTGTGGCTTCCTCTGCAGCGTTAATGTCAGCACAGCTGAGGCACACGCTGAGCCTCTCTTGCGTAGTTAGCACACACACGAGCATCCTGTTTACCTTCTGCACCTGCCTGGCAACCCTGCTGCACAGAGGCTCAGAGCTGGCCAGCATGGAGGTGAGCAAACAGAGCCACAGGTGCTCAGTGGCGAGGCCAAGCTGCTCGCCACCGAGGGTGGGGATTCGGTGGTGAGCAGAAGGGCTCCTGCCCTGGCAGGGGCAGCACGGCCCAGCCTGGACCAGTGCCATCCGGGTGCTGCCACCCTGGGGAGCTGTGGGAGCCCAGACCTCAGCCCTGACCTGTGCATGGATGCCAGCGTGGCCCTGGCTGTGGAGGGTGGAGCAGCACCATGTGTGCCCTTCGCTCTGCTCATCACAGGGCCCGCAGACCCAGGCCCAGCCCCTTGGCCTCTCGAAGGCCTGTGTCACACGCTGGCTTCTCCCGCTCCCTCAGGAGCCTTCCCATCTCGCACCCAGCCCCACGCCCAGTGCCAACTGCCCCCACGGGTTCAATGTGACCCGAAGACCACACACCCACGTCCCAGCCCTGGTAGGCGCCAATGTGACCTTACTTGGAAACAGGGTCCTGGCAGATGGAATCAAGACAGCCCCCAGTGCCTGCCTGGCCTCGGTAGCTGGAACGTCGCCAGCAGGTGATGGAGGCAGAAGTCCAGCCCTGGAGGCTGGCTCTGGGGCCCACGCTCAGAGCCAAGTGGTCCCCACCCAGGAGCCAAAAGGGACACATGCTGTACCCACCGGCCCTGCCCCATTGGGCAAGGCACTACTGGGGCCTGTCCTGGGTCAGGATGCCTGCACCGTGCCCATCCTGCCCTGCAGGCTCCTGCCTGCCCCGAGGGAAGCCTGGCCACAACCCCTTACCTGACCCCGATGGTGAACACACTGAGCAGCGGCTTGCCCTGCACCCAGCCGATGAGCATGATGAGGCCTGCGGGAGACAAGACAGGCGTCTGTGTGTGCTCCATATGGCCACCATCTGCCCAGCCCAGCCTACATGGACCCTATAGGAACCCGCACAGGGAAGCAAGCAACCTCAGCACATTTAGCCACTCACATGTTCTTTTTTTTTTTGGCTATTGGAGACAGGGTCTCGCTCTGTAGCCCAGGCTGGCCTCAAACTCACAGCTACCCCCAGCTGGCACAGGGGACACTTGTCTTTGCAGTGCTGACGTCGGAACCCGGAACCTCACGCATGCCAGGCAAACGCTCTACCAGGAGCCACACCAGCCCCTGGGCCTCTGCTTCTTCAATGATTTTACCCCTTTGCTTGTGGTTGAATTTTCCATTTTCTTTTCCCTCATTGTTTATTACACGCCAGGCCCTGTGCCGGACCTGGGGGCTGTCATGATAGACCCTTGAGGCAGAAACATTAAACTGGGACACATGGAACTGCACGGCATGGTCTGGCAGCGTGGTAAGGTGTTGGGGCTGCAGGCAGCAGGCTGTTTCACTCATGAGCTTGCCTCCCTCCAGGAGCTGTTAGACAGGGTTTCAGAAGTGTCAAGCCTGGGACTCTAGGAGGTTGACGCAAGAGGATCACAAGTTAGAGCCCAGCCTAGCAACTTAGTTACCTGCCTCAAGAAATTTTAAAAAGACCTGGGGATGCAGCTCAGTGTGAAGGCCTCGGGTTCAATCCCCAGTACCAAGAAAAAAAGACAAGGGGGCAGCGCTCAGCACATGGCCTGCACCCACCCCTAACTGCTTTGCTGTCGTGTGGAGGCCTTGAGGGTGGGGAGGTGGTGGGCTGTGGATGCCCTATGTGGACTTGGTGCCGCTGTCAGCTGTTCTGCAGGGCGGGGAGTGGGGGTCTCCACGCAGCGTAGTGGTGGGCTGTGTGCAGAGCTCGGCATGCACGGACTCAGTGGGGACAGAGCAGGGGCTGTTACAGGAGGCCCACCTGGCCTTCCACAGAAGGTGGCACTGCGCTGGGGGCTCCTGCCAGTCTGCCATGCATGGCGACCCCAAACCCCCCCTGGCAACCTCCGCCTGCCCTAGAAAGCGCATCCCAGCCCCCTACTTCTCCCCTGTGCCCACTAAGGGTCCCCAAAACCCAGCCTCAAACGCCCGCTCTGCTGCAGGAGCTCTGTTGCATTTTGTGAGACTGGGTCTTGCTATATAGTTCAGGTTGGTCTTGACCTTGTGGCTATCCTCCTGCCTCAGCCTCCCAAGTGCTGAGATTACAGGCATGTGTCACCATGCCTGGCTCTGGAGGAGCTCTTCAAGTGCTGAGAAACACTGCTTAACTTTTGGAGTGAGGGCTTGCGTGAGGGTTGACCATGCCAGGCCTCCCTGACCTTGGAGATTGAGTTTAAACAAATTTTCTGCTATCTACTCTGACAATCTCCTCAGCACAGTTGCTTGGTATTCGGCCTTGGGGAACTGAGTAGAAAGCTCGGGACACCTTAGGAGGGCACAGTTCCCTTCTGGTGGCCCCAGCTGTTGAGGGCAGGTGACAGTGGACAGGCATGGAGTGGTGGGTCCCGTGGTCTCTGTGGCATGGAGACAGAGCCCACGGACCCTGACGTCTCCGTGTCCCACAGTGCTCCCGCGATAAAACAGCTCTTCCTTGGAATTTAAAAAAATTACTTAAAAACTTAAAACATATCCTCGCTTGCTGGTCAGAGAGAACTAGACAGGGACAAGTTTGGCCCGGAAGCCACTGTGTCCTTCCCCCGTGGGCAGCTGGGGTCCCCTGCATTCTATCCTGCCAGGTATGTCGGCAATGTGTGGCCCCAGGGACAGCAGTGGGAGCCACACACAGTCACTGCCCTTCCTGCATCCCTGCAGACATCACTAATCCATCACCGTCCTCTGCCACTAGTGCTGGCATGGCCTCTACAGCACCCAGCTCTGCCAGCTGCAGCAGAATTGCCAGGCTCAGGAGAAAACCATTTCCCATCACTGACTCCAGGACCATAGTGGGCAGCAAGCCCTGGCAAACAATAAGACCTGTAAGGCTGGGGATGGTGATGGATGCCTGTCATCCCAGCATCTGGGAGGCTGAAGCAGGAGGATCACAAATTCTGGGTAATTTAGCAACTTACAGAGACCCTGTTTCAAAATATAAAAAAGATGAGGGGATTGTAGCTCAGTGTAAGGCCCTGGGTTCAACCTCCAGTACTGAAGACAAACAGATCCTGGGGGATTTGTTGTTGCTCAGTAAATCCAAGGCTGAGGTTTGGGACAGACTAGAACTGGAATGTTGGGGAGCGCTGGGGAGCACATGGCGAGCGAGACCGCACAGGCGGGGCTCCCACTTCCTGGCACTGCACCATCCTGAGTGGTCCAGACCAGCCGGGTCGTGCTCAGGATGTCAGAGGGGGTGCGCTTGCTCAAGACACAGCCTGCACCTGCCTGTGCAACACCGCCCTGTGTCCCCCAACTGCGCCTCCACGCAGGAGGGCAGCCAGCCCTCCCTGTCCTCTGCCAGCCAGCGGTGTGGCTCCCGAGAGGCTGCCTGTGTGACCTGTGCAGAGCTGCCAGGCTCGGAGGGCAGAACCAGGCCTTTAGTGCAGGCGGCTGACTCCACAGGACTTCCTCTTCCCTCTTCCACTAAACTCGGCCCCACAATGGGAGGCACCTTCTGCAGCACTGAATAGGTCATCCCGCTGCCTGCTTCCACGTGGAAAACTCCTCCTCATCCAGCATGATCCCATCTCATATCACCTTCTCCCTAGGGCCTCCCAAGCTCTGAGTAAGAGGAACCGTGACCATCACACCTCCTGCTGGTTCGTTTCCTATTAGCTGATCTGTTAGGTGGCCCCGAAGCTGGCACAGTGTGTGGCGTGCCGTAGGGGACTTGCTAGGTCAGTGACTGCATCGGGGGGCCAGGTGCACTAGGAGGGGCAGCCACTTCTCTCAGGAACGATCTCTGGCTCTGTGGTTTCAGCCAGACTCACCAGTACGGCTCCTCATCACTGCATGTGCTGTAGGAGGCAGCTGTCAGCCTGTTCCTTTATCAATCACTCACTCACCAAACACTCACTGAGAAAGTACTATGAGCCAGGCACTGGATGGAAAGGAGGATGAAGAATCAAAGCCAGAGCTGGAAAGAGGAGAAGAGGCAGGTGAAAGACCCAGGACAGTCCTGTGGAGGTGTGAAGGCTTCAGACCCTACATGTAGGTCTGCCGCATCATGTTGATGCTGTTCGATGTGTTGCCAAAAGGCCAAAAGACATCAGTCCAAGCTCAGCACACTGAGAAGCATAAAAATATGGCTGGGCGCACAGTTTAACTACATTTCCCAGCATCCTTTGCAGTTGGGGAGGTCATAGGACTCAACTCTGGCCAATAGAAATGGGCAGCAGGGGCAACTCCACTTCCTGGTACATGCCTTACCCCAACCCAAACCTTCAGGGTTCTCCCCTTGCCCTCTACAGGCTGGGTGGGATTATAGCCTCCAAGGACCTATAGGGTGCAGAGCAACCACGCAGCAGGGGCCTGGGCAAAGTTAGCATTTGGAAGGGAGGTGGCCAGGAAAGCTGCCAGCCCATAAGCTCGCCCATGGACTGTAGCATGCGCAGGAGCCACTGGTGCATTACGGCCCTCAGCCTGCTGTGCCTCCAATCCCAGCCCATGGTCCCCGGGGTGAATAGCAAGATGCACAGAGGCAGGATGCGGCCCAGCGTGGCTCCCCACAGTCTTCAGAACCCTGCAGGAAACCACTTTGCTCACCAATGATACTGAAGGAGAAGAGAGTCAGCTGCTTCCCCAGCCCGTCCATGCTCTTTTGTAGAGGCGTTTTAGGTGTCTGAAAGGGGGACAGGGGTTTGTCAGACTCGGTCCTGGCAGTGGGTGGACTGGCCTTGGGGCCTCAGCTCACTCTGCATGTCAGTGACAGAGACACGCATGTACACGAGGCTGCTGACCTCACCCTGAGGTCTGTGCATGCTGCTGTCTGAAAGGTATAGCGTGATGAACATCCTGTCATGTTCTGAAATACAGATAAATGTAAAATGTATACTGAGATGATCCACATCTGGCTCCTTCCTACAGCGTGAGCGGGGCTGTATCACTGGCAGAGCCTCAGCCTCTACACTGACAGCCCACGGCCACTCACCTCTTCCGCCTGCATCATCTTGAACACCTCTCCGAATTGGGACCTCTCCCCCGTTCCTATCACGACGCCCTGTGTCAGACAGAGGAGGCGGCGTGAAGCCGGGGGCCCAAGTCTGCGGTGCTTGTGCCTGGGAGCCCCGGGCTTACCTGGCCTTTCCCGCACTGCACCAGGGTCCCCATGAAGGCGATGTTGCTCAGGGTACTGAGGTCCCCACTGCCCGTCATGGGGCTGTCTGTTTTGCTGCACGGTTCCACTTCTCCGGTGAAACTGGACTCGTCCACTAGGAGGTCTGTGGCCTGGGTGGGACAGAGGGACACCGTGGATCTCCCATGTCCCCCCGAGTTGGCTTTAGAAGCCCAGCCTGGCATCCAGAGCCTTAATGGGAGCCGTAAAGGGAAGGTGTGGAACTCGGGGAACCAGGGTCAGAGTTGTAGCCCTGGATGCCTCCAGGGTCGGAAAGGACTGGAATGAGGTCCCTCTTGGGAGACCTAAGTCTCACACCTTCTTCTAGTGCTATTTGACATTTCAACATAATCTAAAGCTGCCCTGGCGACCTTAGGACACGCCTCTCAGAGCACCCGTGCTGCGCCTGCCCTGGGCCCCTGGCCTCCTCGGGGTCCTGTGCACCCTGAGGCTCCCTAAAATCCTGCTCAGGCACGAGTGCTCTGGCTGGGAGGCGGCATGAGCGTCCCCCAACCGTCCCCCTTGGCCTTTAGTCCTCATGGGAGACGTTAAGATGGCAGAGGTTCAATCCACTCGTGGCGGTTGGAGATTGGGTCTTTGGGAAGGGATTAGGATTGGATCCAGTTGTGAAGGTGCAGCGCTAGGATGGAACCTTGGAGCCTTTCAGAGCAGGCAGACCAGGAAAGACACAGGCATATGCGCTCCCCGCCTGCCGGTGGGAGATGCCCTGTGCCCTCCCAGGACTCTGCCAGCAAGAAGCCTTCACCACATGCGGGCCCCGACCCGGCACCTCCAGAACCATGAACTCATAAGGAAACCTCTTTGCCAGTGACCCAGCCTCTGCCATTATGTTACCATGGAGGAAAGTGCTGACAACTCCAGTTCAACCCTCTTCTTACTCTGGAACCAGGAGGGAAACACAGGGCATAGTGCCCAGCCCTCCTGGCAGCGCCAGGCAGCCTCTGACCCGCACCTTCCACCTTCACGCTCACTGGGGTGAGAAGTTTCTGACCCCACTCTGGGTGTTTATGGGGTGGCTTAGTTCAAGGGCTTCGTGAACCTGCTTGCTGTTCCTGCCCCGAGGGGCTCTGAGGTGCCTGAAAGTTCCAGATCTCACAGCACCGTCGCTGATAGAGGCTTCCTGCTGGGAACCAACAAAGCTATCGACTGTCCAGCTGGTTGCAAAATACCAGTGGGGCAGCCTGCCAGCTGGTGGTGTCCGTTACATTATCAACACAAGGGTGTGATTTAACTGAGCCTCAGCAGGGCGGGGAGAAAACCAGGCGAGGTGAAGAAAGGGTTTGTTTGGGGCTTAGGAGGGTGTCTCCGGGACTGCCATTCAGACCCGCAGGGCAGGGGCTGAAACTCAGCACTGCATGCAGGGGCCGACTTGACCCATCCTCGCCCTAGCCCAGGAAGTGGAGACCAACACCAGCCTCTCGGAGATGGGGAAACTGAGGCTCAGACAGACAAATCCCTTCCCAAGTCACACACTGGGAGATATGGGGCCAGGACCCACAAGCAGGTTCCCTGGCTCCCAATACACCTGCGCCAAGTGATCCTCTCCCATTTCATAGATGAAGAAAGTGAGGCCCAGAGAGGTTAAGTAACTTGCTCGAGGTCACAGTGCTTTGAGTTATAGATGCAGGGCTCAAACCCAGCTCATGCTTGGCCCCAGGGTGCTAACCACTGCGCCTCCCAGCCTCTCTTTGCCTTACACCGGCAGTGGCAGCCGACAGGAGCCCTCCTCATTGCCCGCCTGCGTCTTCACGCCTCCCTGCCTGGAGGACCCCGCAGAGCAAGGCAGGGACGTGACAGGGACCGGCTCCCAGCCCGCTGGCCCGGCCACTCCATCAGATGCACACACTGCAGATGGTCAGATGGTGAGGCCCTCACCTGGCCCTGCCCACAGGTGCCTGGGCATGCAGGGTGGCACGGCCCGCTGGCTGAGAAGGTCACAAACGCCATAAATGCAGGTCCCAGGTGCTGGCTCAGAGCTTTGTTGTCCCTCTCCATCCTCTGCCGCAACCTCGGCCCCAGTGTCCCCAGGACCACACCCCGAGGTGGACGGGCAGACGCCTGCGCTTATCCTGTCCCTGGGTGACCCGTTCTCATGCGTGGACGGTGTGGGGCAGATTCCTCGCATAGCTCGGTCCATGCAGGAGAACCCCTTGGGTCCAGGTGCTGTCCTGCCAGGCTGGCACACCGACACCCTCGGGGTCGGAGCAGCTTGTCCCTGGCTGGCCGCAGTTCCAGACCAGGCCTCTGTGGAGGCCTCTGCTGCCTCCTGGGCTCCCGGATCTGGTTCCCTCCCTGCTGTCACTGCCGTCGGCGTTGGCTGCCTGCCCTGCTCCCCAGCCCCATCTTGGTTCCTCTGCTACTGCTCCACTGCACACTAGAATGTCACATGGGCAGATGTGTTAGGCCTACACAGCACCCCCATGCGTGTAGGACACTCCAAGCCCCCGGGGGTGCCTGATACCACAGACACCAAACCCTTTAAAGGCTGTTTCACCCAAATGCCGCACCGGAGGTTTAACTGACACCCTCGGCACCGTGAGAGCCTGGCAACGTGACCAGTGATGAAACAGACCACTTGAAACCATGCAGGCTGACAAGAGAGCTGGGACTGTTACTCTGGGACCGTGGTGACTGTGGACATCTGAAACGGTGGAAAGCAGAGCCGTGGAAGGGGTCCTGCTGGGCCTGCGCTGGGAACAGGGGACCTGTGGAGAGCAGGGCGCTTCACGCTCTGAGGCAGCTTACACTGCCTCCTGGCTGGCTTGTGTGTGTGCGTGCGTGCATGAGTGTGTGCACACAAGTGGGCCCGCCTGCCGGTGGCTCACCTGGGTGAGTCGGATGTCTGCGGGGATCCGGTCTCCAGCGGAGAGGCACACGACGTCCCCAGGAACCAGGTCCCTCGCGAGCAGGTGCTGCAGCCTCCCGTCCCTCATGCTATGTGGGTGGAGAGGGAAGAGGGGCCGCACTGAGGCCCTGTCTCTGTGCGCTTGGACGCGGGGCACCTCCGCAGCAAGGCATTTCCCTTTCACTGATAGACAAGCCATTGTGCCTTACAGCCTCATTCTTTAAGCTCACGCATCCTAAAATACTTCTGGGGACCTGCGTGTCTTCCGGGAGCCTGGGAAATGAGGCAACCTCCATTGCCCATGCCTGCAACAGGAGCCCCAGCTGTGCTGAGGGGTCTGCAGGGCCAGGCTTGACCTGGAGGTGCAGGGGTCCCTGGGGGCCGGGACCACCCGCGTGGGGCGAGAGATATGCCGCAGGGCCTGGGTCTGCCTGGGGCCCCACGGCCACCTCAGCCCTTCAGCCAGGGAGCTCTAAAGGCAACAAATCCCTGCTCAGTCCTAAGGCCCTGAAGCCTCTCCACCGCCTAGATCAAAGCCTGGGGCCCCAGGCTACATCCCCGTCTCAAGCCGCTCCTCCCAGCGCTGCTCGCGGTGGCACCACACTGGCCCTTCCTGCTGTCAGGGTCCCCGCAGACTTGGTGCATGGAGGAGACATTTCCTTCTTCCTTGTTCACGGAATCTGATCCTGTTTGGGCGTCCACCCTTCTCCCTCTGCCAGGAGCTCCAGGTTTCGGTCACACCAGGCTCGGATCATGGAAGAGGTTCCAAATCCTGCCTGGGACAGGCTCGGGCACAGGCAGGTCAGCCTACCCTGGCCTACAAGACTCGAGGGGGTGCTGGCTGGGCACTCGAGAGTGAGGTTTCCTTACTCTACCTGTGCGGGCACGCACACACATGCACGTACTCACACAGTCTGTTCTCCAGGTCTGTGTGTGTTTGGGTGTGAAGCCTGAGCTATGGCAGCCACCGTGGGACACAAGGGGAACCAGGCAGACAGCAAAGCAGAGCAGCAGGAGGCAAAGGGGCCATAGGAAGGAACCAGCCCGGCCCCACCTCAGAGCTCTCACTATGACACACACCCTTTCCTTGCGCTTTGCACAACGGCGCAACTGAGCTTTCTTTTGTTTTTTTTTGGTACCAGGGATCGAACTCGGGACCTTGTGTTTGTGAGGCAGGTGGTGACACCACTGAGCTAAATCCCTGGCATAACTGAGTTTTCTGAGCCTGGTTTGCCAATAGCACCTGGTGGCAAGACACCTGCGGTTCCTTCCGCTCCTCCCGTGTCTCCTATGAACCAGGCCTTGACTTAAACATCAGCTCCTCCTCCCTTGGTGGATGCCTCCCCATCCCTCCCTGGTCACTGTCACCTCTCCCTGCACTTTGTTGGTCCCGTGTGTGGGCGCCTATGGGTCTGGGCCCTGATAGGGCCCGCTGCCCTGCACACAGTGGGTGCTCCATGAGTGTTACCATGCAGGAAGTGTGCATGGTAGCGCGCTCCCTGTCAGCGACAGGGTCTCAGGGGCTCAGTGCGCAGCTCCACCTGGCTGCAGCCACTGGCGTCCTCGAAAATCAAATGCTTTCCAAAGTGGCCTCTGGGGACATCAATAATGCAGACTGCACACCGAGAGGCCAAGGCTTGGTGTTTAGGCTTAAGACCAGCCCATCAAGTCATACGCATCATTTATGCCTCCCTCTGTGTCCTCGGTACCCTCAACAGCCCGACAATCAAGCCCAGATTTCTGCTGCCCCGTGGCCCTTTGAGAATCCCCTCCACGCTTCGCATCAGCCTCTCTTCGCCTTTGGTCTGGCCTTTCCCCTTCTCTGTCTGTCTCTGTCTCCCTCTCTCCCTCGGGCACACACACAATGGGCTCCTGGGCCCTGGTGCATTTTTTTTTTTTTTTTTTTGGTACTGGGGATCGAACTCGTGACCTTGTGCTTGGGAGGCAGGAGGCAGAACCACTGAGCTACATCCCCGGCCTTTGGTGCACATTTTAATTAAAATGAATCTTTTTCTTGTTTTTGTTTCTGTGGTGCTGGGGAAAGAGCCCAGAGCTCATGCATGCCAGGCCGGAGCTCACCACTGAGTGCCCCCGGCAGAGTGAACTAGGGTTAAATTCAGAGCCCAGTTCCTCGATCTCCACACGTGACTGTGACAGTTCGCTGCACAGGGTGGGTCACAGACCCACTGGACGTTTCTATGGCACCACGTGCACTGTTGGACGTTTCCGTCCTTTCTCCTTTTAAACATTTTCAGTAAGAGCTGCATGACAGCAAAAGGCAAAGCAGCCACATCCAGGCAGGCAGGAGGCCGTGGGCATCTGGGGCAGGGCCGAGTCCACCTCCCCGCGTCCTACCCTGGCCAGTGTTGGGTGGGACCTGTTCACGCCGCCCCTCCTGAGCCACCCGAGGGCCCAGGGAACCTCAGCCTCCCCTGCAAGTGCACACAGCTGTGCCGTTTCTTCCCAGAGCTGCACCCTCCATCCACGCCCTGTGCTGAGTACCTGAGACACGGATGAGAGAACAGAGCTCCAGAGAGGCTGGGCTGCCAGGCCCAGTACACGGCAAACTGGTGATGCCACAGATTTGCCAAGCACCTGCCGGGCATCGGACCCGGCTCCCGTGATGACCAAAGAGCCAGGGGTGCAACTCACCAGGTGCACTCGGGGGGGACCAGCTTGGTCAGCGCCTCCAGAGACTTCTCCGAGCGGTACTCCTGGGGGAAGCACACCACACACGCTGTTTGGGGGACCCGTGAGCCCCCGCACATCCAGGTCACCCTGAAGGGACCTCGGCAAACACACACCTGGATGAAGGCGACAGTGACCACGATGAGCACGGCCTGGGGAGAGAAGGGGGACGGCGGAGGCCAGCGGTCAGGCCAGAGCCAGCCGGGCCGGGCCGCTGGACAGTAGCATTTGTTGTGCACAGCACACACGGCTCACGCTGCCTTTTTGCAAAATGAATGCACTGTGCGAAATTGAAAACACACACTTTGCAAGCAAGCAGAGAAATCACACCAAATTCCGCCACCCGGGGCTCACATGCTGGGAGACCATCTGGATTTCTCTCCTCAGACACACTTCCGAAACGGCATCATGCCGGGGAAACCTAATTCTCACACCACACAAGGAGACCATCACTCCCCACCTGCAGATGTGAATCCAACCCTGGCCTTTTAGACAGCAGCGGCCACATCTGCTAGGTGACTGTCTCTGTTTTGAAAGTGAAACTTATAGAAGTGGGAACGACAGCCACAGAGAGGGCTGCAGGTCCACTTCCATGACAAATCAGAGGCAGTCAGGCCGCAGAGGCAGGATGGTCTCCAGGGAAGGGAGGGGCAGGCAATGTCTGCTCCCGGGGGTGGGGTCTCCTTTTGGGGTGGTGCCAGTGCTTGGAATCCAGCAGAGGTAGTGGTCGCCAAATTTTGTGAATGTGCAAAATTTCACCAGGTTGTCCACTTTAAAATGGTTGATATTTTATGTGGGTTTCACGAAACTAAATTTTTTCGAAAAGGTGCACAGTGGTTCTCTCTGGACAATGGCCGCTCTTTGTCACAGAAACATGCAGGGGCTGGGACCAGCACCCCCTTCCCGGGGCGGGAGAGGCATCTTGGGACCTCCTGCCCGGCGGGACTCTGACCATCAGGGGCCCAGGAGCCCCCTGGACACTCTGCGGTGGGGTAGGCACAGGCGCAGTTTGCCTCTTTCCGCTGTACTTTCTGCTTTCCCTCTGAGGCCGATTCCCTTCTCCCTGCCTGGCAGCAGTAAGCAGAGGCCCCGGCACCGGCCCTGCTCACCATGGCGATGCTGACGGCGTCCTCAAACTGCCTGGTGAGCACACTCACCCCGGCCGAGCCCAGCAGCAGCAGGATCAGGGGGCTCTTGAACTGAAAGACAGACAGGCAGGCGCTGCATCCCGAGACCACCCTGGGTGCCTCCCCTGCAGCAGCAGGACCCGCGTCTTCACGCAGGGCTGGGCTTCGGGCTCCAGTGCAGTGGCCGAGGGCTGGAAGAGTGCCCACAGCCCGCCCCGATGGCCCTGCCCCTGAGCTCTCGGCCTCAATCGCGGCATCTCGGGGCGCTCTGTGACCCTCTGGGACGCAGAACGTCCTCTCCCCACACCATGTCCCGGCCCCATCCACTGCAATCAGCCATGCTTGCACACTGACCTACCTGTGTGCAAGGATTCCCCGCTAGAGAAAAACTGCTGCCAAAGCCTTCCAGAAAGCACTTACTGCTTTATGTATCTGCCCTCATTTCATACAGGTATTTCATGGTAGGTCACGTTACAGAGAATGAAAAGGAGGCACAGACATGTAGAAACAGGATCAGAGAGAATGGAGCAAAGATCAGGACCAGGGGAGAGTTAAAGTATCAACAACCGAGTCACGGTTCTCAGCTGGGCTACGCATTGGGCTCTGAGCTTCCCACCAGCCAAGGCACAAAGGGAAATGCCAATATCTGTAGGATTTGTGCTGCTCATGAGAAGAGCTTCACCCCACACCAGTGTGATGCACAAAGGACTTCACCCCCCAACCCAGAACTTCCATGTCCTAGCTCTGCTGCACGAGGGACCAGGCAGCAGCCCTGAGTTTGCCATAGCAACTGTTCTGACACCACAACACTGAGCACAACAGACACCCGGCTTTCTTACTGGGATGTTTTTATGGCTCTATCAAATTATCTCTGTGGACTGCTAGATGACCTGCTGGGGACAAGGACTGTATCTGCCTGGGGTCCCCGGTCCTCTCAGGACTAGACCTGGGTCTGCTGCATGGCGTTCGGGCCAGAGCTCAGGGTCGGAGTGTTTCTGCTCTGCTTGTACCACTCTTCCCCGGGCAGCCACAGGCCACCTCTATCCTCTCTGGGCCTCGGCCCTCTCCTGGCTCTTGGGATAGTGGCAGTGAGCACAGAGGGGCTGCCCAGGGCCCAGCACAGAGTCTTGCTCAATAATTAGTAGCCACCAGGAGGCCAGACTGTGAGGGAAGGGGCTCAGGAAACACTGGCTGGAGGAGGAAGGGAGCCACTTGACTCCCAGCAAATGGCACTGGATCAGAGCTGGTAAGTGAGAGCAAGGTTCTGGCCCCCTGGCCAGGGATGCCTGGGGATGGCTGGCTGGGCTGGGCTGGGCTGGTTGCGCCTCCCACTTTCAGAAAGAGCTGCACCACGACACGCCTGTGGCTTTGAGGCCTGGTGCACGGGACTGAAGCCTTGGGTGGGGACGGCCCCTCAGGACAGCAGGTGAGGCTCTCACTGAAACCCGGGGCCCCACCAAAGTGCCCAAGGCCAGCTCAGCCAAAGAAGCCATAGCCTTCTCCACAAGGACCCGGTCTTCAGCATGCAGGTGAAAGCCTGTGGACTTTCAGAAGCCAGTTAAGGGCCAGAGCAGTGGGTGGGCTTTGTTCAGACCCTGATCCTAAGAAACTAGCGGCAAAGAGCCCTGTGGGGAAAACTGACCATTGATGCAGGTGCTGCTATTGATTTTTGCTTGGTAAATGAGTGCCCGAAGCTTAAAAGCAGCTGATTGGCCCCAGGATCTGGGCTGAGCTCAGCCAGACTCTAAACCTCAAACTCTTAGTTGCTATGTAGTTCCCACAAAGGGAGGAGCAGGCTGGCCTTTAGTCAGCTCGTAATGTGTGCCAAGGACCTTCTGCTTAAGTAAAACTCATGACAATGGGTATTTATTATCCTCATTTTCTAAACAGGAAAAGTGAGGCCCAGGGGAGTTCAACAATGGCTTCAATGTCAGCATGCCGGAGACTGGGACTTGACTCGGGCATTCTGATTCTACCACGTCTCCCTCCGTTCTGGCCTGTGTGTCTTGGTCATGCTGGGGGAGAATCCCTAACTCCTGAGACAGTGCAGCAAGGCTGCCCTGTGAGCAGCAAGTTCCCCACCACTAGAGCGGCAGACAGAGCCACACACCTGACACACATAGGAGGGCGGTGGGTATGAAGAAGAGCGAGTGCAGACAGGGCTTCTGTGCTCGGCAGCTCCTGGGCCTCCTGGGCACAGTGCCACTAGGAGCCTATTTGGCGTCAAGCTATGTGACTGAAGACACCCCCAGGATACTGAGAACTGAGTGAGGAGGACCACAAGGAGATTGGAAAGTGAGGATGCTGCAGGACTGTGATTGGTCCTTGAACTGACCAACCAGGAAAGCTTGAAACAGGGAGCCAACAGGAGGCAGCAGACCACAAGGAGCATGGAGAGTGAGGATGCTGCAGAACTGTGATTGGTCCTGAACTGACCAATCAAGAAAGCCTGAAGGGCTGCAGCTTTAGCTCAGTGGCACCAAGCCTGGCTCACAAGCACAAAGTCCTGAGTTCAATCCCTGATACTGCCCCCCCCCACCAAAAAGGCCCAAAACACGGACTCAACAGGAAGCAGCTGAAGCCTAAGGCTGCCCAGGAGCAAGAGCATGGGGAACGGATGTCAGGGACACCACCAAGAGGGTGCAGAGGCTCGGGAGGGGTCTGAATGTCTTCAAGAGTCTAAACACCCCGGCTTGCTAACTGAGGCTCTCTGACCTAGTCCTGGGTGGGTGGCTGGGTGCTGCCTCTTGCAGTGGAAGTCACAGCTGTGGCTATTTCAATGTTTCCTTTTCTCTTCCTAATGGTTTCTAGGTGTCCGCTTTTGTGCCATCAGCAACGCACCAGGCCGACTCCTAGCAGCTCAGGCATCCTGGCTGTTTCTCAGCATCGCCCCCTACTGCTGTGTGTGAGACTTTGGGCTCAGCTTGCCAGAAAAAATAGACAGGACTTGCAGCTAAATTTGTGCTTTAGCTTGATAAGGAACTTTAAAAAAAAAAATGTCTATTGCAGTAGTTGAAAATGCTTACACTTACAAACTACTCCTTGCTTATCGACCCGAGATTCCAATTTCATGGGGCATCCAATCTTATATTCACTGTATCTGGTTACCCCACACACCCCGGGACAGGATTTCAGTGTTTCTCGTCTTCCCTCTCCCCAGCACAAGAGGACAAGGGGGAGGGTTCAGTAAGAGAAGGCCACTTATTTTCTCACTCATTTGGCCAGGCGCCTGGAACATCGAGGTCACCATCATCCCTCATGGGGGCTGCCCGGTGCCTCCTCCTGCTCCTCAGAGCAGCCTGAAGGAGGAAGGAAAGAGACTTCTTATCTTGTAGCACACCTGCCCCACACCCAGGCAGGACCTGTCCAAGGACACCTTCAATCAATATTTGAAGAGTCAGTGGCTGCCCTGCCCTTCCTGGCCAAATCTCTTTAAAGCAGAGGAGGATACTGGTGGTCCCACCTGATCCAGGTATTTCTTCCACACAGGTTCCGTGTTGTCAGCGACAAACTCGTTCCAGCCGTGAACCAGCCTGCGCTGTGTCACTGCGAACTCAGACAGGCCTCTGTCCAGGTCCACCTGGAAGGAGACAGCATAGCACCTGCTCGCCGATGGGCCCAGCACAGATGGAGGGGCCCAAGGCGGCCCCCACCCTACAGCTCATGGCTTCTGAGATGGACTAGGAAACTGGCCTTGACCTCAGAGGACAGGGGACTTCCTCGGAGACCCCAGAGGATGGGCCAAAAGAGAACACAAACACACGGTCCCATTCTTTTTCCATCAGACCACATGGACACCTAACAATTACACCAGAGAGTGCGGCCCTGGACATACGTTTCAGGAAATGGATGCAGAGTATGGAATCTTGGAAGTACGGACACACACTCTCATCTTATTTAAAACAAAGTCTCGGGGATGTAAATGGTGCAGCTACTAGAACTGGTGAGCAGCTAGCACAAGAAAGTAGTTTGGCAGCTCCTCCAAAATTAAGCATCAAGTTACCAGGTGAGCTGGGCACACTGGCACACGCCTATAATCCCAGCACTCAGGAGGCTGAGGCAGGAGGATCACAGTGAGTTCGAGGCCAGCCTGGACCATGTGATGAGCTAAAGTCTAGCCTGAACTACATCATGAGACCCTGTCTCAAAAAAACACACAAAAAAAGAAGAAAGAGTTACCAGATAACCAGCCATTCCATTGCTAGGGCCACAAGCCCAAAAGGATCGGTCTCAGAGAGGTATCCCCACGCCCCACTCACTGCAGCTAAAACTGGAAGCCAACAGGCAAAGCCGGAAGCAACCTGAATCCACTGACAGGTGAAGGGATAAACACAACGTGGTGGGTAGGCACAAGGAAATGCCAGCTAGCTTTAACCAAAAAGGAAATTCTAGCCGGGCACCAGTCTGGGCAACTTAAGAGATCCTCTCTCAAAATAAAAAATAAAAAGGGCTAGGGATGTAGCTCGGTGGTAGAGCACCCTGGGCATGATCCCCACTCCCACCAAAAAAGAAAAAAAGAAAGGAAATTCAGACGCCAGCTACAGCAGGGATGAACCCTGAGGATATCAGGGAACCAAAGTAAAGCCATCCTGGGAGAAAAGCTGCAGGGTTTGTTTCTGTGAGGTGCACAGAGCAGTAAATAGTAGGGGCTGAGGGGTGAGGGAGGGCGCTGGGGAGTCAGCACTGAGAGAGAGCACAGACCCGGAGACGGAGAGCGGTGTACAACGGGGCAGTGTTCCTCACCCAGCTGGAACACACGCTCAGAGAGGTGAAGATGCTAACACGTTGTGCATGTTACTGTCATCCAAATGGTGTTTCCAAAACAGGAAACATGGCCTGCCCTTTAGGACCCAGAGCTGCTGACATGATCATGCTGTGTATACACTGCTGCACACTGCTCCAAGCTCCACATTAACCAGTGCACTGAATGGAGCCAATTCAGAGGCAGTGATAATAACGTAGGTTTCTTTGTCAAAGGCCAACGAAAAAGCTGTCCCTGGTGGTCGAGGTGACAGAGAAACCTGAACAGACTCGTACATTCTTTGGAATAAGGAGCAAAAATCCAGCTACTTTGCTAGGCAGGGAAAACCCCCAGACAGGGAATAGACTCCCTTCCCTCTGCCAAGAACGCATCCACAGGGCTCGAGACAGCCGTGGACGTCCAGGAGCAGGTGGCCTCAGACACTGCTGGCCTCCTGGACTCTGTCGCCTGTGGCCGACCATCGCTGCACTGTACTAGCATCCCCCCGAGCACGGTGGCTGAGGTGTGCAGGTCACTGTGCTGGCCAAGTTTTCTAAAAAAGAAAATGAGAGACAGAAAGCAAGTGTGGTCCTGCAGCCTCAGAGGGTTGCTTCCTGGGACAGGGCTGCTTTCCCGTCTCCACTGACCAGGAGCCCAAACTCCCGTGAGACGCCCGGGAGAACCCGGTTTTAATAACTGGCAGTTCTGTGGCTGATGGAAGACAAAAGGAGGACGCACGGATGGTCACGTGGCTCATCTCGAGGGACGGCTGGGCTGTGCCTGTTGCTCCCCATGGGTCCCCCACTGTCTGCCCCCGGGTCTCCCCGCCGAGGGTTGTGCGGGCTGTGCACGGGCACCTGGCTCTCAGGAGGCCCTGGAGGGGCGGCTCGGGGACAAAGCGCTGGTGAGAGTCTGCCTGGAGGCCCCTCCCACATCGCGACTGGTCAGCGCTGTCAAGCAGCTAAACTACACAGGGCAGCTTCACACCCAGGGAAAGCAGTGTTCAGGGCCTCGCGCTGCCTTCTCTTAGCCCGGAAAGGCAGCTCCTTTGGCACCAGGTGCGAGTGCGATTCTTACAGAAAGCGCCTCTGCCAAGTCCTCTCTGTGGCATTTGCACGCTTCCTTGGGTGGCAAGGCCCAGACCGTCCTCCTCCTCTCGGTGGCCTCCAGCTGGCACTGCCCGTCAGTCTGTGGGAAGAGCAGGAGGCAGCGTCAGTGCCCAGCTCACAGCTCGGCGGTCACCCTAACCAGCCCCGGAGCCCCGCCGCCATTGCTCTGCCCAGGGTGGGTAGTCAGTCACACATGGTAGTATGTGTGACGCTGGCTCCTTTCCGGGGGCTTGGAACCCACTGCGGTGCAGACACAACTCACCTGTCCACTCCTCTGCTGACTGGCACTTGCGTTGAGACCAGTCAGCACTTACTCATGTGGCTGGGGCTTTTTGTCTGTCTTTGAGACAGGGTTTCACTATGAAGCTCAGGCTGGCCTCAAACTCACCGTGATTCTTCTGCCCCGGACTCCGGACTCTGGAGCGGAGCGCTGGGATCACAGGCACGCCCCCACCCCACCCCACCCCACCCGTGGCTGGTTTTAAAGCAAACTTATTTAGTAAAATTGGGCTTTGCAATACTGACACAGCAGAGGGACAAGTTATGTATTTAGAACCCTGAACTTCTCCGGCTCTAGGTCAAGTACCCACACGACTTTAGCCAGCGCCCCTCCCAATCGTAGGTGGTACCACAGCCCAGCTCTGTGAGACCTTTCAAATAACCCAAGGAAAGGGGCGGGGGGCGGAGCCAAGCTCTGAGAGGCCTGGGACCTGCACTGAGAGTCACAGTGGCAGAGCAGTCTCGCGAGCTGCCTTGGAGGCTCTGCTACCGGGAGACCCTCAGCCCCAGGGCATGTGGGGTGTTCCCTGCCCTTCCCAGCATTCCGATACCCGATACCCACGACTCTGGTATCAGGCCCATCTTGTCCTTTCCCAGCAGGTTACAGGGAAGTGGGAAGGCGGAAGGCGGAAGGCACTAACTTCTTCCTTGACTTAAAACAAAGATCGCAACTTCCACTGTTCCTCCTTGCCAGTCACCTCTTCCCCCAGAGCAGGAACAATTCTACATCATTTTGGGGAAAAATTGTTTCACAATTAAGTACCGGTTAGGCCGAGTTTGGCCTACAGGCCAGCTATGGCATGTCCAGACATAACTGCAGTTCTGCCTGCGGTCACAGCTGAAACCTCAATGGCCCCATGCAGCAGGGACCCTGCAGGCAGGATTGCATCAGCTGAAGACACCCTGGTTCCCTGAGAACGCTGTAGTAAGAGAAAGGCCTCACCTAGGGAGGGACAAATCCCTTAGCAGTCCTGGCAGGGTGAGGAGTCAGGGAGCGGCAGGAGGAGGAGGAGGCGGCGGAGGGGAACGGGCTTCGGTGCAGGGAAGGACCGGAGGGAGGGGTGAGAAGACAAGACAGGGACTTTCTGGGGACCTGGCGCCCGAGGCCAGGACAGTGCTGGGCCCTGGGTCCCCGAGGGAGAGGGGGCAGAGAGGAGCCACACAGCCCGGCCCTTCAACAGTTTCTCAATTGGGCCAGGGTTGCAGCTTAGCGGTGCCTGTGCCTGCCTGGCAAGTGCAAGGTCCTGAGTTCGATTCCCAGTACCCAAAAAAGAAGAATTTCACAATTAATGGTGGATGCAGTGATCAGGTCAGCGGAGTCGGAGAGGACGCGAGGGTCAGTCACCATCACCAGGGGTAGCCGGGCAGGTGTCGTTAAGGGAGTGACTGACATCTGGGCCATCTTCTTTCCAAGGTTTCCAGGCCAGTCTTTCCCCAGGCAGAGATCTGTGAATGGCCCACTTTTGCCTCTGTCCAGTGGTTCTCCAAGTATGATCCTCAGGGCCGAGCTCATTGGAAATGCTGAGTCTCAGGCCCTGTCCTGCCCCGGACCGGCAGCCTGTGGCTGCACAGGTTCCTGGGGGATTTGGATGTGTTCCATCATGGTCACTGGGCTCTTGACAAAGTCCCCAGACTGACCAAGGACTGGGGATCAGCCACAAGGCACAGAAGAGCCTGTGGGGGACGCCATGGGCACTGGGGCTGAGCTAAGGATGCCTGGCTTGAGGGCCCTCAGGCCAATCCAGCATGCCCTTCCCTGAGGGGCTGCCATCCTGGAGGACAGGAATGGCCATGGCCAACAGACCACGCACTGGTGGGAGTGGCTGGAGTCCACGCAGGGAGGGACGGACTCCTGCACCCTGGAGGAGGTGTGGGTGGCATGGGGTCTTGGGGAACAGGGCCCTCCAAGCCCTGCTGGAAGCTGAGCCTGAAGAAGGGCTGGATGGGTAGGGACCGGCACCACCACAGCCCTGGCCCACCACGTGAGCACTGCGACAGCTTCGACCCTGGACGCACTTGACGTCCAGCCCGCCTACTCTGCATGGGGTAACCGAGGCCCTCAGAGGCAGGCGCAGTTTGTATCCCCTGCTCTCTGAAACATGGAGAGGTGGCTGACCTGCATGATGAGCCTGTACACCTGCCCTGAAGGGGCCCCGGGCCATGGCCGGGCGCGCTGGTCAGGGGTCTTGAGTTGGGAGTGATCCTGGTCACCAGGGGGGCAGGCAAGGCCATCACAGATCCTCATAGAGGGCTTTGCACATGGAGGAGGGGCCACAGCCACAAATGCAGGGCGGGCGGGGGGCGCTGGGACAGCAGGGAGATGGATTCTCCCTCGGAGCCTCCAGGAGCTGGCCTGCTCACTTGTGTGTGCACAGATGCATGGTACTAGGAATTAAGTCCAGGGTATTCACACAGAGCTGGACCCCCAGCCATAGTCTCCCCGTGTGGGCTCGAACTAGCAATCCTCCTGCCTCAGCCTCCCAGAGTGCTGGGACTACAGGGCTGTGACACCAGGCTCTGCAGCTGGCCAGTCTTGTCCACCTGCTGACACCCATGTGGGACCTCATCCTCCAGAACCACCAGGTAACCCAAGAGCGCTGTTTGAAGCCAAGGCTTGCGGGGCCATCATCACGGCAACAGGACACTGGTGTCCCACCTCCGCCCCCAGGGAGAACCCCGCTTTCTGAACCCTCAGGATCCCAGGGCCTCCCTGTCCTCTGCTCCCCGCTCACCCACACATCTGCCCCCTGCAGGGGACCGTGAGCTTCACGGGAGGAGGGGACTGGTCTTGGCCACTTCCCTGGGTGCCCAAACAGAGGCCCAGGAGCTGGGGGCCCCTGTGGGGCAGCGGGAGGGCAGAGGGGCGGCTGGGGTTGCTGCTCGGACGCCAGCTACACACAGCTGACCCCAGAGGTGGCACTGTGAAGGTACAGCCGCAGGGCAGCTGTGGAAGTCGCTCCCCGTGTGCTGTGTCACACAGTGGGGACTGAGCAAATTCTGGGTCGTGGCTGGTGCTGTGGGCCAGAGCCCCTTTCCCTTGCCACAGGAGCCTGCGGGTTCTTCCCTCTCCTCCCCTCCCCACTGCCACATGCCAAGGGCAAAGGCTGCCCGTGGAGACCGGATGTAGTCCCTGGCCCACAAGTAAGAAGTTACTCAAGCGACAATTAGGAGTACTGGAAAAACAAATCCCAAAGACAAAAAGGGGCTGGGTCTGCTTCTGCACTGCAGTCAGAGATGAAACCGCCCCTGGGGTTGCCTCCTGCAGCTCCCAACCCGGATGCAGCAGCATTTTCCAAGCCAGCGAAGCTCCCTGAGCTATGGAAAGAACCTCAGGTCATTTTTCTAATGGGCTGTTAGAAAGATGTGAACTGAGAGTTCACGGCGAGGAACAGTGATGGCTTTTGTGTGTGTTCAGACGATGCCAGGGCGCTGTCCTCCACCCAGCTGGGAGGAGCCCAGGAAGTCTCTGGCCCGAGACACTGGGGACAGAGGCCGGGCTCATCTGGATCTGGAGGGGACAAATCAGGCAGACCCGCCGGGGAGATTCTCTCCGGTGTACTCACTGAGGAACGGGGTCTGCTCAAAGCCTCCCATTGGTACACTGTTCGTAACAGCTAAATACCAGCTGCTGTAAATGGGCAGTGGGGTGGGGAATCACATCACTACAGCACAAAATTTTAGGCTCCTCTAAAATACAATTGCGAGGCCGGCTCATCTTCCTGTATGAAAACTGTGAGCTACACTGGGGCTGACCCACACTCAGCCATCGGTGCGGTCTTAAGTGTGGACCTGGAGGAAGATTTACCTACGCACACACCTGGGTAACCACCTCCCTGTGCCCTCTCTCTGCTCCCTCTCCTGCTTGCTTCCTTCTTCCATTTTTTTTTTTGGCAGGGTCTCACTGTGTATTCTAGGCTGGCCTTGAACTCACTGTGTAGACCAGGCTGGCCTCAAACTCGCAGCGAACCTCCTGCCTCAGCCTCCTTAGTGCTGGGGTTACAGGCGTGCGCCACCACGCTGGCAACTTCCCTCTTTGAAGGGGACTGACATCAGGACTTCTAGAATGCGGGTTCCTCTGCCGCGCTGGACGCTCACCTCAGTGGAGCCACACACAGCTTCCCTTGTACTTCCCTTGCTCGGATCACTTCAGTGAGTACAGCTGTGTGTCCACTCACAGCCAAACCCATCCTCCTCCTCCCCGTTCGGTGTTCTGGGCACTCCGGGCATCACAGGTGGGCACCATATTCGCTCCCAGTGCGCTTATGCTTGGCACGGAGGCAGGGTCGGGGCAAACCCCACACGGACTGTCTGGGAGAGCGGAGCCTCAGACTGGGCCACAGGCGTGGGGTGGGGGAATTGGAGCGGCCACTGCTGGGACCAGGAGCCAGCAGGACTTCAAAGGAGCCGCCAGATAGGGATCCAGCAGGCAGCTGCCCCTCAGAGCAATAGAGGGGGAAGCAAGCAAATGGTTAATCAAAGGGGAGCCGCCCGCACGCTGCGATGGGAACCCCGCCCCATCTGGAGACCTCGGCCCTCTTAAAGACCCAAGAGCAACTGAGGACACTGCTCGGAGCCCCCACAGGTGGCTGCGTCTCTGGGCCTCCCTGTCTCCTTCTTGGGGCCAGTGGTTTCTGTCTTGTAACAAACTTTCGCTTTATTTCCCCTTCAGAACCAGCCCACGTCTGATTTCCACCTCACGTGGGGCTAAAGACCTCCACTCCCAGTGACATCGCCCTGGAGGGGTCCCGTGACCGAGCCACTGATGGGAGGAGAGGAGGGAGGCAGTGCAGGGCACTGTGA